GTATTTAATCCAGAACAGGAGTATTATAACCCAATCAAAGATACACACACAAAAAAAGTTCAGCCTTTCCCCTCTCGTGAAGAAAGAAGACCACCGGAGCTGTATTTGATACACTGACGCAACGCGCACGCGCCCGTTTCCCGCTTCTTCTCGTCCGACACGCCGCCGGTCGTGGATACGTCTCGGCGAATTAGAGTCGATCGCACACGGCGCACGTGACGACAAACGGGTTCTCCACGAACTCCCTCCGGAACCTCGCCGTCGCACCCGGGAACTGTTCAGCCGGCGTGGAGTGCTGTCGTCGCCGGGCTTCACGCTTCCGCTTTGCCTCCGTGGCAGGATCGTCGCCCGTGGCGTTGGCCCGCCGGCGCCCTTTACATCGCTGGTACTGTTCTCGGAGGCGGCTTTCCAGGCCAGTGATGTGCTCTTCTTTGGCAAGGGAATCTGAAGCGCTGGACGCAGTGGAAGTCAAGGTGACAGTGGCTTTGCGGCGGTTGCGGACCCATTCGCGCTGCTGCGTACGTCGCCGCTCCTTCCGCAGTTTGTCTCCTTTCCCCGAAAGGGCGCGCGGCCGACCCATCCTGAGTCCAAACCGAAACTGATAAGAGCGCAGGAAACAGCGCGCAAAACAGACGAAGACGAAGAAACACACATGACGAGCGCTGCGCTCGCTACGTGCGCTTCTTCTTCGTCGTCGTCTGTTTTTCGCGCTGTTTCCTACAGTGAATTTTCACCAACGCGCACGACTATCCATTCTTCCATGATAGTTCGAAAGGTTGCCGCCATCTATGAGTGACGGCAGTAACCAGACTGGTAGTGTGCTTGCGCCGTCGCTTATAGGTGGCGGTAACTGTCCAGGTAGGTTTGTGTCGACATACCGGACACGATCCTGGGGAACCGCCCTTAACAGCTCCGCTGTAACATGGACCAAAATATCGACTGAATGCACTATGAAGCCCATGCGCACGCCCGACTTCCTGGAAAAGTGTCGTACTTCCGGTGGCTTCACTTGCGCCAGGCTCGGAGAGCAGCTATGCGCCATCCAGCCCCAAGGAGGTTATAAGTACTAGGAGGGGGCACGTTGCAATATTGGAGAAGCCTAGTCAAATGATTTTGTGCCTAGCGTGACCGCAGATCTCTCTGGCGATTGGTGCGCGTGACATGTCACGTGTGAGATGGATGGTTGATTGTAGAAGGACTCCTTGCAGGCTTGCGCGCGCTCCGTCCGGTAGGTTTTATCAGATCGAAGGCTAGACTGTGGTGTATTCTAGTACCCCATAACAAGACGAAGGCTAGCTACGGTCACGTGACGTGATCACGTTGGCGTGGTAAGTGAGGAGAGTAAGGAGGAAAATGAGAAAGAGGCGTCAAGGGAGCATGGCTTGTGGAGGTTACGCGGCCTTGTTCATGCCCTCTCCTACCCTTCTATCCTCCTTCCAGCCCCTTATAGTAGAGATCAGTGTTTATGACACTGCACACATGTTCCTGTTGGAATATGGCGAATTTCGGTAGGCTTGGGTGGCTGGAGCACTAGTTGGGCTTGACTAAAAGAAAACCAGTCGGGGTCTGCTTCCACCTATCCGGTGACTGGTCCCGATGAAATCTTCAAACGAGCGGCTTGATGCGAAGAGGCGGCGCGACCTATAAGATTGATTGATTGAATGATTGTAAATTGATTAAGAATGAGACATAATAGCTAGGGGTGTCGCGAACCGGCCGAGGTTCGAGTTCGACCAGGTTCGACTTTTTCGAACCTTTTGCGGAAATTCGACGAACCTTGTATTGAGGTTCGACTCGTGTGCGCATGCGCGACAGGCTAGACAGTTGGCTTTGGATTGGATGGTAATGGCTAAGGGATGAATTAAGGGCACCGCTGATTGGTTATTTCAGTTAATACAGTACAAAACAATTAAGTTATTAACGTCTTCAGTGACTAAAATTGGTTTCTTTTAATTGCAACTGTTCATAAAATAAAATAACTCTTTGCATAAAAATAAATTCTCCAAACCTAGACATGCGTGTATCAAGGTCTGGCCACACTGTCCGCAAAGTCGAACCGGTCGAATCTGGTGAAAAGTTTGGAAGGTTCGTCGAACCGGTTCGACCAAGTCGAACCCCGAAAGTTCGACATAAAAATGCGGTTCGACAAAAGTTCGCGACACCCCTAATAATAGCTGCCACTAAAGTCTGTACAATGCACGCCACAATACTCAAGTCAACGTTACTAGAACAACTCAGTTGCGAAACCGCCATATAGCCTGCTTTGAAAAAGTGGCTCCGATCTGCACTCGAGAACCGAACTAATGGCGATCGCAACGCCGCTATTTCTCCTGCAGCGGCCACTCCGGGAACTGCACGGCTTGACGTATTGATTCAGGTAAAGTCGCGCGAGGGTCTGCGGCACCATCTCGGAGCGCTATTTCGCAGTAGCTATACAAATCACCTTTCATGTTTTGACTCGTCGCTAATAGCTGATTCACACGACGGACCGAATCGCGATTTTCGACCGCGGACCGTGTACCACGTGACCGGTAAATCACCGATTCCTGCGATCCGCGCCTCATCCGCAGAAGCGCGGACTGATAAAGTCGAGTGCCCTTTCACTCGCCGATGTTTGGTGGGAGATTGACTTGAAAAGCATTTAGACTTTTTTTTTTTTTTACGATTAAAGCAAAATTGGCGGATCGTTGTGTTTTGTACGTTCGATGGTTCATTTCGTCGTGCGATTCTTCGTTCCACGCGTCAAAGAAACTGCAGAAACTTTGTCCGGCTGACGCGACGCAGGTTCCGGTACTCCTCCGGGTCCGTGTCAAGATGCTCCCGTCAAAACTCGTCTAGCACGCCGCGATAACTCTTGCACGTCCAATCAGGCTTTCACCGAGAGAGACCTTTAGCTCTTACGGAGCAGAGGAATGCAAACCTTTGATCCGCGTGTTTTCCCGACAACATGGCCGACAGAGCAGCTCGGCGCGAGTCACGTGGTACTCAAGGTTCCAGGAGGTCCCCCATACCCTTTGGGAGAACGCAAGAAGATCGACGCAACACGGCTGATTAAAAAATAAATCAGGAGTTTGTCGTCTAGTTGGTAAAGCACTAAACACTTCTTAAGTTTTCATAATATTGGATTCGAGTGAAATTTTTTAGAAGGCATTTTCCAAGGCAATGGCTTTTGAATCAGACGATTTTTTTACACAGCGGCGATGGAATTTTTGGGTTGGCTTGAGCGGGTCACTTGAACGGCGTGACGTCGCCGCGTCGTCTGCTGTATGATGCCGCTCAAGCAATTAAAAAAAAAACGTTTTTATGTGGCACACAATTTAGCGCAAATTATTGTAAAATGTTCCTTTATTATGTTGAACCACCGTCGTTCCGTACATCCCCAAAATATCGAAGAAAACAATTAAGGACGTTTACAAATCTCTGTAATGCGAAATTAGAGCGCAGCTCTTGAGGAGGAGGAGGCGAGGGTACGGAGGGGAGGGTATGCCCCTCCTCCTCTCCTCCTCATTCCCTCTACCTCTCCTCTCCTCCTCCTCTTCCTTTCCTCCTCATCGCCTCCTGTCACTGAATTTGTTAATGGTTGACATAACACGAAGTTGTTGCGTCATTTTCCCCGCTAAATTTAGAGGGGAAACTGAAGTGGTGTTTAGGTCACCTGATGTCAATTTCCCCGATAACTTTAGTAGAAAAGTTTTCCGCTATCTTTAGCGGAAAAATTTCTACGCAAAATTTAGCAGAAAAATTTTCCGCTATGTTTAGTAAAAAAATTTCCCCGCTAAATATAACGAAAAAAATTTCCTCGCTAAACCTGCAAAATTTAGCGCGGAAACATCCCATAATGCAACGCGCGTGATTACGCCGACGCCGACGTCACTCAACCCGGAAACGGGCGCTTAAGAGCTGCGCTCTAAAACGATTTTCTCGCTTTCCCCATGCATTTGTGATAGGAGTTTGGAACCTCCGGGCGTTCGCCGCTAGTCGCCAAAAAACGGCGTTCCAGATTTAATGCTCTAGGACGAACCGCGGACGTGTCGTCACGTGATCAATCCGTCCGCGGATCAGTCCGTCGTTTGAATCGGCCATAAAGGGCGGCGCTGTTATCGTATTTAGTTTGGTCTCGGTGGACGGGAGTGGACCGGGTTTTCCAACTGAGCGTTTTAGTGCCGTTGACTCAAGCTGAAGGCGCCGCGTGAGCACCGGAAGACTGGGTCAAGCCGCGGGGCCCTGGCTAGTGGCTAGGCTTTGTGACTAGGACAAAAGATGCCGGCAGGTGGTGTTAGCGGTGAACCTTTAGTACAGAGAGTTCCCAAGAAAAGAGCCGTGTTTTTCGGCCCGGGTAAATAAAATATTCATGGCAAAAACCTCGAACTCGATGAGAATGTGATCGCTAGCGGTCGGGATAGAACGGTAAAGTTTGAGTACACGACGCTAGCTGCATCAAAAGAAAATTGAGAAGAACGAAATTTCTGTATAAGCCGACGTCCACCAAAGCCTAATATCATCAAAACAATAAATGACAATGCGGGCGCTAAAAAAAAAAAAAAAAAAAAAAAAAAACTTTTTTTTAGCGAGAAAGCAATATTACCTTTTTGCTGACAAGCTATTTTTCAAATTAAAATATGTGCTACAGGCGCCCACAGTGTCATTTCTTATTTTGACGATATTAGGCTTCGGTGGACGTCGGCAGGAAACGTCCTGTTCTCAAACTTTGGCGTTCTATCCCAACCGCTAGTGGCACATTCTCAGAGTTTGAGCTATCTGCGATGCCGTGTTGATTAAACCGTGCCGAGGTTTTCCTTTCTCGGAAACTCCCCTTATTACCGAGCGCTCGTCAGCAAATACGATACGCACGCAAGGAACGCAACCGAAACCTTCACTTGGAGCAAAATCGTTGCCACATATCAGTAGCATAGCATCCGTAAACATCGGAAGCGATTTGAGCGCCGAACCAAATGCTACGGCAGTGAGACAAAGCTTCGCCACGAAGCCAACGAAGCCCCGAAAGCCTGGTTTGAGGCTATGTCGTTCTCAACATGGCGGCTGAAAATCTGTTCGATCCAAGATGGCGCACGTGCGCGACAGCGACACATCTCTGTGGCTACATAATAAGCTTGGGACAAGCAACGACTTATGGTCCGGCTATTCCATATGTTCCCAGTTGAACCAAGACGTCCTGAAAAACATACGAGAGTGTTTCATCGACCTGCAGTCCCAGGTTAAGCTGAAATTGCTCCTGTCCTTTTTGCACATTCCGCGGCGCAATGTCGAAGAGGTAAGCTGGATTTATCGTTCCGTGATCTCGGACTCCGCGGCGCATTCCCCGCTCGTGCCGTCGCGTAACGGCGCCCTGGCGCTCCGGCAACGACGCTTTCGGCTATAAAACCTATTTTGGTGACACGGTTATCCATTTGCGGCTTGTAAACATACCAGCTGTGTCTTGTGTACGATCACATTACAAGCTTGCGGACAGCCCAGCCGACTGTTGCATCTTGCACACGGCCACACGGCCCCGACGGTCCTACACCGCGGCGACCGCAGCGATGCTTGCGCCTGTAATTTCTGCAGCTTGCTCTTTATTTTCCAGCTTGCGTTTTTTGGTGATCAGTGATTGCCTAATACGCATCACAAACTGTTGTTTTCGCTGCTAAAGTCGAAAGAAATCGCCAGCTTTTGTCAACTTCGGGTATGTGATTTTGTTCAGCGCGCAGCGCGCGGTCGCTTTGCGATCCTGACAAGCGAGAACGTGAGCTCCCGTCTCCGCTTGCTGTTGTGTGCATCCCCACCGTACAACTAATTTCTACGAAGCGTTGACACGAATAATTTGTGCAAAATTCAAATTATATATAAAAAAAAAAAAAGACTGCGATTGGCGATTGCCGTCTGTGTGTGTATGTGTGTATTCGACGGCTGAATCGCGTTATGGCGCTCGGTTTAAATCGTTTAAATCCGCCTATTTCGACCACCAAGCATTTAGCACATAGGGAGCGGGGACCAGCACATTTGGCGTGCTGTGCAAATTTTTAATTCCGAACGTACATACCTAAAATTTTTAACTTAAACGTCTTTTCGTAATAAATTTTATGGCTATTTTTTTTTCTGAGCTTAACTTAGAGGTGTTGAAATATTAAAAAGAAAGCAAAAACAGCGGCGGTGCATTTTCCATGTTTTAACCAGCCTGTTCGTCGTCTGCACACTGGTTTGCGTGCTTACTCCCGGGTGGCTTGCTGAATGCGCTAACGCTAAGAACGACATAGAATCTGGTGACGAGCGGGATAATCGCGATAAGTAATAATTGTAACGAAATAAATGAACGATTCCCACCTAGGAGCAAGCTCACTAACCAGTGTGCAGACGACGGACATCAGGTATAGGACAGTGGAAATACATGGCCGCTATCTTTGTTCAAGTTTTCATATTTCACCACCTCTGAGTTGAGCTCTAAAAGAAATAGACGTATCAAACCTTTTTGAAATGGCGTTTGCTTTCCCAACTTAAGGAGCGTATGTTAAAATTTGATTTTGGCAAGGTGTGCCAAATGTGCAGTTCCTTACGGCCACTCCCGGTATATACACTTTTTTTCTCCTGTAAAGAAAGTGACGTGGTTTGAAGGATTGTGCTCTGCTACCGACTGACATGTCCCTGTGTTTTCTGGCACGGCAGTGGAAAGTCGAGCTGGAAGAGATACTTGAGGTGGCCTCGGCGGACAGCGACCAGTGGGTCAGCATGCTGGCCGAACTGTTGCGTTCTTTTCCAAGCACCGGCACGCTCAACTTCAACATCGAGGAGAACTCTGGCGTCTTCGTGGACCTCTGCAATGACCTGAGAAAGTTTGGTGAGTTATTGACGCCCGCGGGAAGCGCACTACTCTTGCGACCAAGATCCGCTTATTTGGTATTGGCCGGTTGGTTCAGACTGCATGATATTTTAACGGCAGTTGCTTGCTTGCTTGCGTCACGTGGGATGGCCTAATTTTTTGCGCCGTGTGACCAGTTGTGTATTTTTCTGGGGCTGCTAAATGGAACACTGGCTAATCGTCTCAGTCATTCCTAGTTGGTTTTTTTTTGTGGAAATGTGACCTATAAGATCACGATGGTGACCTATCAATAGTACTATCGATAGTACCATCTATAGTATTATCGATGGTTGACTATCAATAGTGTTAGTGCAATCAATAGTATGATTAAGAGTTGGCTTTTAGTCAACTGTAGATAAATATAAATTTTCCTAGCACTGTCAAGTGCTAGGAAAATTTAAGAAGCATTACCCAAAATAGGAATGATGACAGATTTGTACCGGCAGACAGCGCATGGTTTTGGGAAAAAATGAAAGACGTTTACAATCCCCTGTAATGCCGAATTAGAGTGCAGCTCTTGAGGAGGGTAAGGGAAGGGTACTGAGGGGAGGAAGGGGAAACTCCCCCACTACTAACATGGGTGTGGATCGACGTGTGCTTAATGCAAATCGCAGAAAATGCGCATCTTTGGTGAGAGCATCACGTGTAAATTTGGTGGGAATTTAACGGGGCAATTTTTTTCCCTAACTTTAGCGGGGAATTTTTTCCACTATATTTAGCGAGCAAATTTTTTCCGCTCAATCTAGTGGAAAATTTTTTCCCGCAGCGGGGAAATTTTTTCTGCTAGATTTAGCACGGAAAGTTTTTCCGCTAGATTTAGCCGGGAAATTTTTTCCTACAAATCTAGCGGGGAATTCAGCATCATGGTTACCGTCATTGCGCGATTACGTCAACGGCGACGCCGCTCAAGCCGGAAACGGGCACCTAAGAGCTGCGCTCTAAAACATAAAATTGAAAGGAAACAAACCAAAACATGGAGTTGCATTCTCATACAATTAATAGAGGTAAAACAAAAATGGCGGTTTGCTAGTTTTTCTATGCACATATTTTCTATATTCATTGGGTCCAGATATCAAGCTTCACACTTTTGTATGCCCACATTTATAAAACTATTCAGTATATTCAGTATTTCTTTATTTGTCTTGGAACTAGAAAAAACACTTGCTGAAGATATTTAGCATCAGTGTTTTCACAAGTTTGTTTCACATTTGTGTTTCCTTTATGATTCAATTGACACATCTTCCTTTTCATAGCCTTAACCCCTGACAGGTAAAAATAAGCAGTCTGCTGGGGATCATAATTTGTTTTTCTCCTGATGGCCATTTAGATTATTAATTGAGAATATTAATAGCAGATCTTTCATCTGCTATTAATATCCATGTTCCGAGTCGAGTTTTGCGGGTTTCTCCGACTTTCCATATTAATCACATCATCCCAACCAGTTCCACGACCCGTATTCAACACTTCTACAGTACCCTCAGTGGAGCAGATATTAACGTTTTTAACCCAAATTTCCTAGCTTTTAATACTTTTTGTGACTAACCTCTGAACATTTTGTTGTGCATCAGGGCGTCAAGCTGTTTATGAGCAGAGAAAATAAACAAATGAATGAATGAATGAATGAATAGCGAATTCCCGAAAATCAAGAATTAGCTGTTGATGAAAGTGCTGAGGCTTGTATGCCATGATATGTTGGCGCTTCTTGTTTGGTTCTATTTCGGCAGATTTAATAATGTGGGCTGGGAAAATATTTACCTGTTGTATAAAAAGCAATTTCAAAATACAGAAGCAGTCACATAATCTATAAATAAATATATATGAATCAGTAAATATAACATATATTTTGTTGTGCAGACTTCGAATTGAACATTACCAGATAAAAAGCTTATACCAAGAAAACATGGTTACTGATACTTTTAGTTTTTCCATTCTTCTAATACAATAAGTTTTGGAAAATAATGTTAACTAGATCAAAAATAAATGATAAAACGAAAATTTCTTGTGGTACAAGTAACATTATTGTTGGCAATGAGGCAATATTTCAGTGAAAAAGGCTTGGGAATTCGAAAGTTAATTTTGTTTCCTTTCTTTTTTGCAACCTGTATGTTTTGAAAAAATGCCACACTTAACTTTTTATCCGGGTAAAGTCATGTCCCCATACCTGCACATTCTATACCATCGCTAGTATTATACTCAAGCAGGGTTTCTAATTTATGCAAGACATATATAGTTTACTTAGCAAAGGGTGCATCCTGGAAAGCGATGTAAAACAGCAAAAAAACGGACAACCTATCAAGTTGATATCTTTTTTTCATAGTGTTTTAATAATACACAAAAGTTGATTTAATAGTTCCTTCTCAATTGTTCAAGGAGGATTTACTGTTTTTTTATAGTTTTTCAATAGTCTTCAGATTGTGCGTCGATAATTACCGTAGAATACTGCGCATCCGCCCATTCCATATTAAGCGCCCATTACCAAATTTGTAAGATCCGACAAAATGTGCACAGTACATTGATATGTAAAATTGATGACCGGACAAGCGCCCATCCCCCATTTTTTTTGCGATTATCTCCAAAGTTTGAGTGGGCGCTTGCTCGGTGTTTTACGGTATGTAGAAGTCTGTAATCGCAGGGTCGTTTTTCTCCCAGCTACACGACATTTCCTGGACGCTCTTTGTCCGTCACCTAATGAAACCCCAACAATAGCATTCCGATAGTTGGATATCAATAGTTTCCTTATATTCAACCATAGACAATTTCACGATAGCCGACTATCGGTAATTTTACAATAGTCTACTATTAGCAGTACACTTTCAATAGTAGTATTGATAGTTTTACGATAGTCTACTATCAATAGCACTATCAATAGTTTTTTCACTATTGATAGTTAAATTTGGCTTCCTCTATCTATAGTGTCGATAGTACCATCAATAGTTTTGCATCACTATATGTGAGTCGTCGTCATTTGTTGGTGCCACATCTGTGCTCTTGAACATACACCGTGCCGCCAAAACTTAGCTTGGCGCATAACGAGAAAAATTGAAAAAAAGAATACACACCGAACAGCTCAATGCTGCAGGCCCTATAAAGAAAAAAAAAAAAAAGAACAACAATCATTAATTCTTGATTTGAGAGTGCTGTGGGAGTTACACATTTGCCGGACCAATAAACTATTTTCCTTTCATCACCTGACCCTGCTCCTTGCGCGTGTGTATGGACGGGAACATAATCGTGTGGCTAGAAATAGATAAAAATAGACATAGGACTGGTCCTACGAGAACTCAGCTTCCACTGTACCGTCAGCTTAGGAATGAAATAAGTACATGGTCCTTCCTAAAAAGAAACTCTCGAGAAGTGAAAAGGAAATTGGAGGCGAAAATTAAAAAAACAAATGAAGAGAAATCTTTTGCCAGGAAGAATTTGTTTTTGTGGGTGGGCTTTAAAGGGACGCCTACAGGCTGTTTATGCTTGGTAAAATTTTTATTGAAACAATATGTGTAAAGCCCCAACTGCTAAAAAGATATTTGTGGTTTGAATTGATTCTGGGTCCCGTGCAGCAGCAACACAAAACCCAAGCTATGTTCGAAGTTCTGAGCTATCTAAGGCACATATTCAGAATTAAGAGTAATGTTTATGACCACTGAAAACACCCTAAACACTATTACTTAAAAAGAAAAAAAAAAGTTGAATGCTTTAGAAAGACAATAAAGACGATTTAGGAGTTTGGTTTATTGATTGATATACAGTCTACGCTCATTACAACAGACCTGATTACAACAGACGTGTGGATATAGCATACCGATTTGTGAATTTAAGTTGGTTTTCCTCTACATTCTATTGACTCAACTTCATATTTTCATACAACATACTCCTGTTACAACAGACCAAAATCTTGGTCAAAATCAAGGTCTGTTATAACGAGCTTAGACTGTATCGATGTCACGTGTGTCCAGGTAATGTCGATGATATTGAGGTATTTAGCGCGCAAGGTAGAGAGAAGAAGGACAGTACAGAAAAGAGAGCTACTCACAACTATGTTTACTGACAAGAAAGGAAGAGAAAAAAACCCAAATAATCCGCCGCGGACTCGTGCATCTACCACAGCCCCGTGAATGATAGCGGCTAGTTTATCCAGGCTCATGTGGGCCCTTCATTGTTTGTTCAAGGAATTCCCTTTCCTTGTTTGATAGTGTTACAGATTCAACGCTAATACAGTTCCTGTCTTCACAAAGGATGTAGAAGGCCTCCAATACCTCGCGGGTCAATTTGTCTTTACTATTGTCTTTGTTCTTCCCCAAGATGTTGGTCTCATGGAATAATGGTCTCTTCCTTTCTTGTCAGTAAATGTAGTTGTGAATAGTGCTCTTTTCTGTCCTGTCATTCTTCTCTCTACCTTGTGTGCTAAATACCTCAATATGTTAGACTACCAACTAGCCCAAATGTCAACTTTACTAATGTCGATGAAGTTGTAGCCCGAAGATACACTTGCACACCGCACAAATTAATTTAACAGATCCAGTAATAATCATGCTGGGATCAATGAACAGCAACACCCGAGACTTCGAGAAAAAGACAGGCTCGTCAGATGATTGGTTGAAGTGAACGGAGTCAGCTCATCCTTGTTTTCAATTAAGAGTTGTTAAGATATTCTTTTTTTTTTAATTCAATAACAACAGGATTTATATACTTTTTAAAGAGGTTTACTGCAATAGAAATACAACACTATTTCAGTCCGTGGAAGCATGGACTGAAATAGTCGAGCACCTATTATATTGACTTAAGAAACATTTAATGTAGAGACAAATTTTTTTTTTTCTGGTGAGAAAAACAAAGTTGGTGCATCATTGTATTTTTCTTGTTTTTTTTTGTCACTCGATTCTTGGTTCATACATGAAGGGAGCTGCACGAACTGTTCCAGGCTGATGCGCTGCAGTTTCCAGTACTCATGTTAAAAAGCTTCCGTCAGACCTCGTCAGCACGCCACAATTTTTCCTGCACATCCATCTAGCCTTTCATCCAACGAGACCTTCCTGTACCTGTGGTGTTCTGAAGTGTTATGAGTGAATATGCAGCTATGAAAACATCGGCATGCGCCGCTGCTCAAGCCCGGGACGCTGCTGCGTTTACACCGAGCCTCCTCAACCAGGGCCGTACTTGTGTGAGGTTTGGGGTGGTAAAGCTAATGGCGTCCTCGTTAAGCCTGTCATGGTATTCTGTCTTACTTGGTATGTAACAGTGACATGCAACAATGATCGTTTTTCGTAATGTAACAGTGCAAGCGATGTCGACAACAAATGAGGTGTGTACGCACAGTGGCGTTTGACGCCGTTGTGTCGACAAATGATTGCGAGTCACCTGGTCATTCATGCTTCGTGTGATGCGTTACAACCATTTCAAGGAGTAGTTTGGCAGGTGGTTTTTACAAGTTTGTGCAGTTGCAAGGAGGTTCAACGCTCTCAAACCGCAAAGCACCGCTACAACTCACTGCGCCAGCCGCGCTCACAACCGCTAAATTCTGCTGAAACAAACGGTTCGTCGTCTACATCACTTCTTCTTTAGGAGAGGTCGTACAGCGGGAAGACTAAACATCAGTTGCTGTTTTGTCAATTTATTTTCAGCAAAATAATAGGCTTTGGAAAATCATATAAAAAGATTGAGCACAGTGCTAGGTCCCTACAGGTATGAAAAACACCCTCTTCTAAAAAAAAAAAAAAAAAAAAAGTTCAAAATTGTTTTTTTGGTCACTTTAAGGTTGGTTCACATGCTTGAGACGGCTTACTACCGAATGCTTACAACCTCTTGTGATCTCTTACAAGGATAGGACACAGTGGGGCCGTGGAACACTCGTGATTTCTGTACATTTCTCACTTTTCTTGCATGCGCCATTTTTTCTTTATTGGCTCGAAAAACTTTTGACAATGGCATTAACGACCCTCTCTCATGGACAGTACTTACTACATTTGGTCTCGTAAAGATTGCAAAACCTTCGTTTCAGTGAAATGCAGTTCTGGGGCCAGCTCATAGACTGTGTCAGTGTGCCAGCGCCCTCTTTGGGCCTAGGAGATCGCAAGAACTCGGCCGTAAGCCAATGCAAGCGTGAGAATCGCCTTTAGTCGTTATGACTCCCGTGGCTGCCGCACATTCCTACGTCACCAAGCCCGTTCTGGTTTCTCAGTTCCAGTTTTGACTTTTGATTATTTCTTTCTTTCGACAAATGTTCAACTGGTGCAGTGAAGAAGCACGCCGACAAGAATATCCTGCCCCTCGAGTGCCTGTACCTGAACAAACATGCCCTCACTGCCCTGGTGGGCCAGCTCCCACAACCCGTCAAGCACTTCGCTCTCAAGCGCAAACCCAAGTCTGCCGCCCTTCGAGCCGAGCTTCTCCAAAAGTGTAAGGTCTCTCTCTGTCCTCTTTTGTCGAAACGGTAGGCCATACAATGACAGCAACCTTAAAGGGGTGCTCCGGCGGCTTTGTGAGCTACCCCGACTGACCATGTTTTCTCGATCCCCGGCCTTTACCCTTTCTGGTATGCCATTTGATATTACAATATTCAGAATAGTTTATTGTGAAGTAGGCAAATGAAGGTGATGCTAAGACCAACTTTCAAGTATACCCACACTTTTCAGTGTCTTGTTGTTATCAGCCGGCAGGAATGCTTGGACGTCGAGCGGGCAGTCTAAAAGGCAAAGGGGTACACCAAGCAGCCATTCCGTGCTTCCACACTGAGTGCTGGAGCGAGCATCCAAAGCGTAATTTGACACCATTAAACTGTTTGTAATCAGTTGGGAACAAATTCTACAGTCGAGAGAGTGAACCCCGGCCTGCCGCTGTTATCACTTTTTCATTGTTGCCACTAGAGACTCTCAGTTAAAAAAAAGAACTGTGAGTACCAAATTTATTACTTCAATAACTTTGTGAAAAAAAAACTTATTTTGGTCTAATATTTGGGTTGCTAATTAAGTGATGCTTGGTAGGGTTGGTTAATTTCGATGCACATCGGGGGCCATGAAAAAAGAAAGGCCGGAGTGCTACTTACAATGCTGGAAACGTCACAACAAGTGCTGTAATACAGGGGCAGTGCAGCATATTCCCAACGGGTTTTAAGAGGTTTGATGGTGTGAAATAAATGCTAGGGAACCTCACGCCGGCAAAACAAGCAAAGTGCTGAGTTTCTTAGACTGCCTGCTCAACTTTCATGTTTTAAAACGCGTGACGTCGCTCCTCTGAAAAGCGTGGGAGAATTTGAATGTTGGTTTTGGCATAACATTCATTTGTCGTTTCCTTTGTACCTATTTAGATTTTACAGGCAATAAACAGCTTGCTGAGAAGTGTAAATCCAAGGTATTCTGAATATGTATCTAATTTGCGTAGCTAAAAAAAAATGCCGCCTGTCCACAATAGATACAGCTTCTGTTACGCAGGGCATTTGCCGGCTACAATTTGATGCAATTCCTCCACTTCGGATTTACTTCGGGACAATAAGAGGTTTTGGGGAGGGGGGAAGGGGGGAATGGGGGGAAGAAGGAAGGCAGGGGGTAGGGAAGCAACCCTCTGCTTGCGTTTTCAAAAGATGCTCATGACTAGGGTTTTGATTTTTGCAGCAATAGCTGCTATGGGCTCCTCCCACCACTCGAAACGACGTCTGTTGTAGTTGGCGATATAGGGCATCCGTCGCCGACGTTGCAAAATCCTGGAAAACGATTGCCTGCCGCCCACAGGGATCGAACCTGGGTGCGCTTCATGTGAAGTGGAGACGTTACCACTGAGCTATGCCACAACGTTAATAACTTGCTCTCTACTCTGGGTTTTTGTACTACCCAAGCCTGCTGACTGTGCTCTCTGGAAACAAAAAATAGCTGATAACAAAATGCTGTTGTAGCACTGTCAATGTCGAGAGCTCGTGCCAGAAGATGCACTTTTATGTGCTCTGGAACAAAAAAAGAAATGAAAACATTCGGAATTTGTAGTACCCGATGCCTAATGCACGCGCTCTTTGGAAAAATACAGAGAAATAGCCGATGACAAAATTCCGTCGTAGTACTACCAATGCCAAGAGCTCGTGCCGAGAGACGTGCATTCACGCTCTCCGGAACAAAGAAGGAACAAAAGGGTTCGGAATGGTGCGGAAAAAAAGGGTTAGTGTCTATTTTGTTTCGAACGCTTTTATTTACGCACTCCACGGTGTGTGAATGTGACGCCGATGCCCAACAATTTAGCCGCGAAATGTCAGAGCTATTGCTGTGACTCTACCATGGATTAAGACTGCCTGTCTGCGGCGTCACGCCAGCGCAAAGTGTGAGGAAATTCTAAATGTTGGTTTTGGCATTGCCTTCATTTGCCATTTCCTTAATAATTACCTGAAATTTTGGAATACTACACAGTATACTGGGAAGGGGAAAGCAAGGGTATTCAGAAAACATTGTTTGTCTAGCTGAAAAAATTGATGGAGTACTATATCCATTACCAAACATGTGAACGACGAAAACGGGCACAGTGCGACACCCGTTTGCATTGCTCGTTGCCTGTTGACAGTTGTTGCTCTTCTTTCTGTTCCTTAGCACAAGATGCCCTCTCCAACGCCAAACGCAACACCTCGTCTTCCTCGGTGCCAATCCGGTGTCGGGGTCTCACCAAGAATCTCAACGACTCCAGTAAGTATAAGGGGAAGTGGTGTGCTCTTTTCCAGAGGGTGACTCGGCCTGATTCCAGCAAAGTTAACTTTACTGGAAGGGCTATATTATTTTGTATAATTAAAATGTTACGTAAAGGGGGATGTGAAGTGTGATCCAAAGGTTGAAGACTAATTTTGCAGCATAAAAAGAGAGCGCAGCACAGTGATGCGTGCACAGCACTCGGAAGGCAGGGACCTTCCTGCAACATTAAGCCAAAGGGCGTCCCTTTATGGACATTTGGAACTGTGCTACACGAGTTTGTTTGACCACAAGCACGAGCACAATGGCGATCTCTCCATAGACTGCAAACCAAAGCGAGAACAAACATAAATTTCAAGTCAAACTCGGCAAGTCTAAGACAGACGTCCGAAAGGATTTAGAAAGCTTATGTAAAAAAGCAGTGAGTGAAGTGTGCGAGGTGTTTTGAGTGGCACTTGCATCTCAAGGATGGCAGAACGTCACTGGACTAAAGGAGAGGTTGGATAAGGTCGCCCCACTGCTCTTCGTCTTTCAGTAATGTTCTGATCGTTCCTGAAGTGTGAGTACAACTTGGAACACTTCACAAAATTCACTGCTTTTTGATGCCAGCCTCCTGAATCATTTCAAAAGTCTCTGTTTCACATTTGCCGAGTTTGATACAGAATTGGTTTTCACTCTCGCTCTGGTTTGCACTCCACGGTGAAATCGCCATTGTGCCCGTCCAAGTGGTCTCAGAAACTCGTGTAGCACAGCTCCAAATGTTCAGAGTGACGCATTTTGGTATAATGAGGCACGAAGGTCCCTATCTTCGACTGCTGCACGTGCATCACTGTGCTACCCTCTCTTTTTACGCTACAAAATTAGTTTCAGAACCATTTGATACCTTGTAAATCTGAAATAATAAAAAAAAAAGAAAATTTTTTAATGTTATTTTTGTTTCCAACATGTGATGTTTTGTCACTTATTTTTTTTTAATTTTTTTTACTCTTGCATGTATCAGTGCTACTTGTGGTGACAACATTTACTAGTGCAAAAACCGCCAAAGTTTACAGACCAGTAAGTGGAGTGTCCGAGGCCGATGGTTTTACTGAAGACGTCATAGTGAGCATGTTGCCAATCGTAGAACCCTTTTGGTGCAGCACCGTCACCACTGGGGGGGGGGCATCAATTAGACTTGTTTGCAGCTTTAAGTCTGGCTCACACACTTGCGTTCGCATGCTGGCGCCACCTGTAAGGTGGCCGTGGAACTGCGTTTCTCTAAAGCGAATGTTTTGGTGCTATTTGCGAGATCAGATGCATGTACCATCCAAGAAATATGGTTATATGTCACTTTGTCGAAAGTTTTTTTTTTTTTTAGCCAGTAAAGAAAGAACAATGTGAGAGAAAAAGAAGAAATACACGGGAATCGCAGGTGCTCGGTGGGTCCCCGCAGATTGCACCAGTGTGTTGTCTCTTCATAAGAGATCCCGAGGGGTTTTAAGGCACTCGGTCGTTAGCTGTCACAAGTCTTTCTGACCGGCCTTTACTCAACTGCTTCGGCTGCCTCCTTTGGAATGGCCGGGGCGCGCGTGTGTGTGGGCCATGGAACTTGGGCTTGATACAGTGCTCTTGCCGTGGCCCCAGGTCCGCTGCGTGGGATCCCGAGCCGCGTTCCCACGGGCGGCTTTAAGACGCCCACCAGCGCAAACAGGATGAATTCGGGAACGCCGCTGAGTCGCTCCCTCACCAAGCCTATGGGGAACAAGAAGGACGGAGGGATTAAGGTTGGTTACGCGCTACGTCGTATCTCTCGCGAAACAAACTGCGGAACGCAAAACAACTGAACTCCTAAAAATATATTTTTTTTCGAATTAGTATATGTCACAAAATGAAAACCTTACCCCCCTCTCCACCGCACTAAAAAAATAAAAAAATATTAGGGCAATGTTTGCCTTGTGAAGCTCTTTTTGAGTTAGGATTGATTCCGAAGCACACGTCAGTTGTGAGACGTCGATGCCAAGGTAGTAGAAGATTGTTTGTAAATTGCTCAAATGATTCCCGCACTGTAAAAAAAAAAGTTGTGTGAGCGTTCAGTGTCTCTTTACAATAAAAATGCTGTAACTATTTTATTTTTAATTTTTTTTTTATTTGAGGACTGAAGTTTGAGTTGTGGGGCTTGAACAGGGTTCTTAAAATTGTCAAACTTCCAAACTGAATATGTTAGTTAGGAAACTTAACGTTTTTCAAGCTTTAGAATTATTTGCACAAAGAAATTTTATTGTTTTCAAACTTTAGAATTTGTTGTGCTAAGAAATTTGACAATTTTCCAACTATCATGTGTATTATTCTGGTAAATTCTGCGGTATTCAAGCTTTTGAACCTGCAAAGTTTAGAGGTTGGACGAACTTTGGACGTTTGAACGAAAGTTTGAAAAACTTCAAACTGACATCACCCCCGAGGATAGAGTTACAAACTAAAGGTTTAAGGTACAGTATAAATAAAACAAAGGTGCAAACGGAAATATGGCACCGAAGATTTACTTTGCCGATCCTAGGTGGTGCCACGGACGACTCCCTCTGAGATGGCCTTGGTCTCTTTAAATTTTTTCCTCCCGGTTTTGCACAGCACCTCTCAGCCTCTCCCAGATAAAGCACCATAGGTTGCCTTGAGGTAACATGTGGGTCAATGGATTTCTGAGCTGCAGGTTTGAAATCCGACCAAGGTCCCATGTTTTCGGTGTGCACCGATAAATCTAAAAAAAATAAACTTCAGAAATGGTTTTATTGAAATTTGGGAAAACCGAAATACCCCGAAATTAATGCCGTCATTGAAGAATAAGATCCCAAGCTTCGTGGAAAGGAATCTCTATCTAGAGCTTCTTTTCTTTTTTGTGGTGACCCAGAACACGGTTCACACTGAACCGTCTGCAAGGCTGTTTCTTTCGTCGAGGGCCACACCCCTTACTTTGTTTTGTTCTTATCGGTACCAGGACGTTTTTCAAGCGATGGAGCCATACCCGCATTCTTCCTAGCTTGAGGAATCGTGTCACCGTGCCCCATTTTCTTTAACATACGTTCCAACAAATGCCGATTTCTTGGTCCGACACTGAAAACAGTCACCCAAAAATATTACATCTTTTTGAAAAAATATATCCCTTGTGCGCCTTGTTGGCACACAAGGGATATATGCACCTTGTTGTGTCCTGTTCTCTTCTTTTGTCCTCGTCCTTGCTGCGCACAAGATTGTATAAGATGTCAAACCAACTCGCCCAAACAACCACTCTTCTTGAATCCCCAAAAAACAACCACCAAATTAAAAAAAAAAAAAAGAAGGAATGCCGTAAACGCAGTATCCTGCTTGGCTATGTCTGTTATTTCCAGGCCGTAGAGTTTCCAGTTTTTATTTATGAGAAAAGAAAAAATTGTTTCTGTGTTTTTTCCTTTTTTTCAATGATATAGCTGGCGTATTTTGGGGATTAGTTTCAGACGAACGCTAAAAACGGCAATTATTGGTGAAAAAATTTAATGAAAAAAAAATACCGAGAGTTTGAGTTTAAGAAGGGATTTGACAAAGACATCCTAACAGGAGCAGACGTTTCCAGAAATGAATGCTTTTCGGTTTTAGCTAATTTTGTATTTTTGACACCTAACGGTTCTTTTTCGGTTTAAACTGATCTTGTATTTTTTGACACCGACGGATGCTTATCGGTGTTTTACGGTTGAAACCGGAAAGTGTACAGCCAATACTCCACTTCATGACACGTCCAGCTGCATCGGAGCCAATCCAAGGCCGTGTGAGTTTCCCGTGAACCTAGAGAGGAAGTGTTGTGACATGCGGAAAGCATAGTCATGTGCTACAAACAGAGCTGGATTGGCTGGGACGGCTTGGAGCATTCACTGCGGCCGGACGTAAGGTGAAACTGAGTATGGTTTGTTTTGTAACACGAGTCCGCCAATCTTCTTCTTGAAACGGCTCACCTGCTCTTATAGAAAAATCACATTTCTCTCAAACCTTTCTGGTTTGAAATATAAAATGTTGTTTCCAAGTACATGTGCTGCACACCATGCCTCTAACGTCTGTTCTTTGCACGCAGCTCCTGGACATCAACGAGCAGCCGCTCGGCTATGGCAGAGACGCAAAAAGAAGGAAAAAGCCAACAGGTGAGTGGTCGCCCATCGCGGACCGTTTGGCTGGGTCGTTCTTGCTACGTCAGCGGTTGCCTAGCATGAGCTTGACAAGGATGCATCTTTGCAGAGGAACTTCCCGACATGCAGAAGAAAGAGAAGGAAGCCCCGGCGGTGCCGACAACTTCCGCCGCTCCTGTCACGCCCGACTATGCGGCTGGCCTTCTCTCTTCGTCCCAAGTGAGTGAAGCCGTGGAGCATTTCAAATGCATCGTCTGGCTAAGTTAGATTGGCACGTGTAGCCACCTGCGTCGGTAACGTCTAAGGCAATGCCAGTTGGAATGCGAATAGATTGGTGCAAGTGTGTCAGTTAGGCTGCCGCCTTGTATAAAAGTCCTGCACTTTCAAGGGCTGGACTTTTATACAGCTTACGTACAGCCTCAGTGAACACCTTTGGCGGCGTGGGATTGAGCCACCTGATCGTGGCATTGGATATTGGCCATTTCCCTCTAGTTCAAGATTATTAACAAAGTAATTCTTGTTACGAAGTTCTTCAAACTTATAGGTTATAAAATGAGTTGTAACAAAAATCTAATTGCGACTGAAGTACTTCTTTTTATGTTTGGCTTCTGCCCATTCTCAAGTTTTTTTTAGCTCCAATTTAACTGACAACAAACTTAACCCTCTAACATCAGTACAAAACAAACCATACCATACAAACCCCCCCCCCCCCCCCACCCCCATCTCCTCTCATGTAAAAACCTGTATAGTTTAACGAATTTGAGCCATGCCTAACTCAAGCATGCTTCACCCATCCCTAGCTGGGGTATAAATAGGGCGACTTAAATCCTGAGCAGGATCCCAAGCTTTTTTTTTTTTGGTGCAGGCATACGGGCCACAATTAATTTCTGCTTTTGCCTTTTGTTAGTACGGAAGTATATTTTGCCCTTGCGTAAGTATTGAAAATGCCAATGCTTTGGCAAGCCGGAGCTCAGCCAAGAAAGTGACGGCTTCTTTTTCTACGTAGATGCATCCATCGTTAGTTTACGCAGGTCACCCGACGCTGCCTTCAAGATGTGGATGGGTTTGTTTGCCATGGTCGTTTGTTTACACCGACTGTCTTTCTGCAGTTCTTCTTGTGTAAAAGTTGTATGGACGACATGCGGGCTATTCTTAGAGCAAGTCATCTGCTTCTTGCGCAGGAGTTGTGGTGGTGTCAGAACGACATTGAGCTTTGATTGGCTTCGATAGAAAGGATAGTGGGTAGACCTCAATGCAAGATGCCTTGAGGTCTACGCACTATTCTTTTCAATCGGTTAATAAGAGCTCTGTGTTTTGACATCATTGCAACTCCTGTGCAAGAAGCAGACAAACTTGCGCTCTGTATAGTCACTGACCAGGTGAGAACGGCAGCAAGGAGCTTCAATTGTCCAGCTTCCAGAGTGAGCCTTTTACCTTCAATAATGCTTCAATGTCTCGTTTACGCTGTGCATGCAAGGCCAAAGCACAGTGGAAGGCATGGAGCACATGCTGGAGGGCAGGCACTTCAAAAGGGTTGCCCTGCCGGTCTCGTTTTGTCGACGACTAAGCATATTTTTTACAAAAGCTATCGTTTCCCATTAAGAGGAGATGAGGCTCGAAGAAACAGAAATATTTTGCAAGAAAAATGTGATGTAGTGTCATCTGTGTTGTCCCTTTTATGTATTTCTTTTGTTACTGCGTAAGTGTTTATACTTGATGTATAAAGATACTAATGTGGTTCCGATCGCAAAATTAAGTCAAATGCGCATTTGAAGACCTCCCGGCAGTTCAGAATGGCATGAATCTGAGCCATTTTTCTCTGTGTGTTTCTTGCGGAAGTTTATTAAGAAAACATTATTGGCTGCATCGTCAAAGGGTATATTATTTACACATCTATGGGAACATTCGAACACGTTTTTGTTTTTATGTAATTTTAAGGCCTCTTTGCAGTTTGTGCACAAGAATTTCTGTTCCTAATATTGTCCTATCACAACCGAATTTGGCATGTGTGTACCTTACAATATGTAGAATGCAACTATCTAGGTTGCATTGCAGTGTACATTTTTATATTTATAAATAATTTAAGAATCATTTGTTAGCCCCTTGAAATGGCATTTTTGTTATTTCTAAAATTTTTAAAATGAAGCTTCACACACATTATTTTTGTGGTTCATTTCACTCGGTTTAAAAGAAGAGAGTTAATTAATTTACTGGGCTTTCTAAGTGTGCTGCCACGTGTCGCATGTGCACAAGAGCACTTTTTTTTTTTCTGGACGTACATTGGATTGAGAACTTAAAAGACAAGCTACTGTAAAAGACTTATTTTTTGCGGGCTCAATATTTCGTGATTTAGGTCAAAGCTGAAGTTTTGGAATAATTCGCGGGTTCTAATTTTCGCGATGCGGTGGAATCTCAATATAAATTCCAATATGTTTGCATTTTACCGGAATTGTTTGCGGGACCTATTCTTCGCAAATTGTACGTGATTCGCGAAATTCGCGAAAATTAAGTCGTTTACAGTATATCAAATCTAACATCAGATTTATAAAGAGGAGATTAAGCACCATAAAGTGTAAAATTTTTATTTCAATATCGTAAATAATAAAAGAACATTTTCCCCCGGCACATGTTTAATGGTACGTTTACACTTGCGGATCCGCCAGCGAATCCGCCCAGCTTTTGCCGCTGGGGCGAAACGCTGGGCGGAAAACGCGGCGGCAAGCCGTTTAGGTCCGGGATCTATTTCTGCCGCCGAACGAGGCGTTTCGCTGACCGGATATGCCATTCTTGCGCTGTGCGACGCTGCCTACGTCACGAGTACGCATTCTTCCAGGAGCAGCAACGCCGGGAGAGAGAGAGCCGAGGCGGGAACTCTCGCGCCTTCTCGTCGTATTTGACGAGACGTTACGGGAACCGCTGCCGCAGCCGGCGCTGCCGCCACTGCTCGAAGGAAACAGATGTAAACGCAACCCGCTCGTCGCCGCCGCCGCCGGGAGCGGATTCGCTCCCGCGGCAGCGGATTTCTTCTCAGGTGTAAACGTACCATAAGAGAGGCTGCCCGAAAAATTGCCTTCAACGAATTGGAGTAGTAGTAATATGCAGTGAGATATTCTTAAGTCATGCAGCTCAACTGTAGCCCTTGCTTATTATAGGACCCTCCCTGACGGTCATACTTAGAGATTTCGCTGTATGCCACTCTATTTAATGTCTTCCCGATCGAGTTGCTGCTCTGGCTTGAAAAGTTGAGACCATGTTGATTTTTTTTTCCTCCAGCTTTCTTCGGTACCGGCATCCCCAGCTGCGGCGTATGGTCTTCCAGCCACCAGCGCAGCTCTGCCCACAATTGCAGCTAAGACGAACCCACCTTTGCAAGGTAGTTGATTTCTGCTCATAATTAATGCACCGTTTCTTACTGCTCCGTAATCAGGAAATAAGTAATTGAAGATATCATCCGAATAATATCTCCAGACAGGTTAGCATAATTAAACCAGTTCTACTTAATTTGAAGATGAACCAAAAAGGACATTTTTGGTTGGGTTTTTTCTTTCTTTTTTTTGCTTTGTGGTATTGTCACGTGAAAGAGGCTGGATGCGGTAGATGTCCGTTCGACCGTAGGTTGCTCTTCGGCTCGACGGTCTAAGTATACTTTTTATATTTTACAGCAGTCAAATATAAAATTTGTGGGGGGATCGGTGGCCAAGTGGGCTAGCGCACACCAGCTTGGAGCACGTAGAGCGAAAGCTGGCGCTGCAGAGCCCAGGAATCCTGGGTTCAGTCCCCACCCCTGCCCGTTTCGATCTGGATGAGCGTTGTACCGGCGTACGGTCGTGTATCAGTACTGCGTGGTGCACGTTAAAGACCCAATGCTAGCGGTTGTACTGCACTGGCTAAATTTCCCATCTACAGCTGGGAGACTCGTTGCCCGTTCAGGCAGACCAAGTTCTAGGCTCTTTAAACATACGCACAACCCAATTCATAAAATGTGTATTTTTTGAGCTGGCATTGGTTCTTGTGTCCCGCAAATGTCAGCTTTCGGTTCGCTCTTGAGCTTCGGCTTGACACTGGCACAATACCATGCGAGTCGAAGGGATCAATGGCTGTTTGAAGGGACCGCATAAATCTTTAATGTATTGCGCTAGGACTTACTACTGAGGTGCCGGAAGGTGGTAGAAGCTTTCGCTAAAATTGTGTAAAGATTAACTCACCTGAGTAAATTACGAAAAAAAAAAAAAATACTATGTTTTTCTTATACACCAACTCATGTTTACAAACAAACCGGAGCGCCCCTAGCGGACGCCGCCGGCGCCGCGCATGCGCGATGGGGGTGTGGGCAAAAAGCTCGCCGTCGCCCATAAACAAACCATTGAAATGCGATGTTGTCGGCGCCGGTGTGAGTCCCCGCGCTCTTTTTCGCGTGGGAACTGTTGATTCTACGTCCTCCTAACGATGTCTGACTACTTGAGCAGCGTCAGCGAAATTAACGAGGCTCGTTACACCGCAAAACTTTGCGTGAATGATCTGACATGCGGCGATTCATTCCGTGTGGACGCCGCAGAACGTGCGCTAAAGCCTGATTCACGTGATGAGATTTTGCTCGCAATTTTCAGTAGCGACGTCGCTTGGACTGCAAAAGCGTGAACCGTAGCTGAGATGGTCGACGTCGATACTGAAAATCGCAAGCAGAATCTAACCAAGTGTATCAGGCATAACAAGTCGGTGATGGCCACTGGTAACAATGATCAACATCTCCTTGTATCTACTGTTTACGTCGAGCCCGCTTACCAACCTTCAAACTTAAGTCTTTTAAGGCCTGCACTTAATTCTTATCGCAAGTACCAGGCCCACGTTTGGTCTACGGGCCGGTGTCCTCTAAAAAGAGCAGACGACAAGCAGAAACGTTAGAAAGAGCAGACGACAGTTCGAACGATCAGGCGACCGTTTGAACTTGAAGACGCACTAAACGTAGTCCGCAGGTGGTCCGTACAACTTGACGGTTTTACGGCGTTCATTTTGGAATCAAACAAATAAATTTGATGGCCAGTAGTATCCGTGAATTTAACCCAAAATGCTTCCCGCCCAAGCAATCGTGGTCCGACGGCGTCTGGTTTTCCCTTTTCACGGCACATATCCGCGTTCTCGGACGAACCGAGCGCATGAAAACTGACCTTCAAACCTTTCTCGACTCTCTTGGTACAGCCCCAGTCGCAGCATTTTGACGACAAGGCAGGTTTTTGTCTGGTTCCTTTCAAAACAACGCAGGAATACACGTCTCAAACGGGCACTTCCGCCCACAGCCCCAGACCGACAGTGCGTCCGACGCGCCACCACCGCGCCGTGACGTAACAGAGATGAGTTTGTGTATACATTGCGTGTAGACTTTAAAAATATTTTGTATCACTGTGGCACTTATTTGAGCCAAATGAGGTGAAGAATAGGTAAGCCAATTGCGTTTTCTTTTCATTTCACCAGTTTTTCAGTCGTAATAAATATCAGGATAGCCGAAAATGATTTTCTGATTTTGAGAAAAAAAGGCTTGGCAATAATTTTTTCAATAACAATACCAAGTATTAACATTGTAAAACCCGAGACTTAGGACAAAAGGAGAAGAAAAAAGGGCACAACACAGACACAGGTCTCAAACTCAGCTGAACATTTATTTCCCCTGCCTCGCTTATGAGGACACCTAACCACCATCCCTCGGCGCATGACGTCACACTGTCAAACACTCTACTCTCTCACCCACGCTTTCCACTGCCCCCTCCGCAGTTCGTAAACACGATCAACAAGCCAACTCAGACACAGACTGAATCACTTTCCCCAAACTTCAAACTTGACGCCGACACCAGGCGGGAAGCAACAACCGCTCTACAGATATCTTGACCAAACTAAGCCCATAATTTTCACCTTGAGGACGTCGATCAAACGCGACAAGGCGTGTGGCCACCAGCAGCGGTACTTTCTAACCTCTCCCCCCCCCCCCCCCCCCCGCTCCTAATCTCCTATCTCTTCCCCCCCCCCCAAAAAAAAAAAAGTTTACAACAAAAACATTTTTGAAGAACCTTAAAAGAGATGCGTGCAAACACATACTCCCAAAAAGGAAACAAAACTGGGAAACTCTGACTCACACAAACAAAACACACTCAAAGGCTTAGAAATCTCTTCGTTGCCTCGTTTATAAATGTTGACGGGTTACTAACACAGTTGGCTGTACTGTTTATTTTAATAGTCTCGATAAGGATTCTTTTAGGTGCATCTCTCTCCCTTGCCAACATCGTTGTCTTATTCCACAGCGGCTTGCACTCGTCGCATTCATCTATGTGTTTTGCAATCTCCGAATTTTGCGAGTTAGTTGCGACTGCCCTCTTGTGCTGAGCAATACGATCATTAATACATCGCTTTGTTTGGCCCACATACTCTGCACTCGAGTGGAATACTGTACACGACTTCTGCCTCACACTCCACCTCTCTTGCCCTGTGTTTCTTTACATATCCCACAAAAATTCTTGTAAAAGGCGTCAACTTACTTAGCTTAAAATCAGATTTAAATACTACCGAAACACCGAAACGATATGCCACCGCTTTCAAATTATGAGAAACCGCATGGTAAAAAGGTACAACGACAAAATTCTCCAGCTGTTTTTTCTTTTGTTCCTTGCCACTGATCCGATCTGTAAGCCCCGAACAAACTTTTTCAACCAGCTCTGATGGGTATCCTGCCAGCTTTAATCTTAACTGCTGGCTCATCAACGCTGATTGTAAACGATGTGCACAAGACTTCCTCAAGGCGTTGTGCAACACCGACATTACGACACCTCTTTTTACTGTTTTTGCGTGGCAGCTTGCAAAAGGCAACAACGGTTTCGGCTGGGCCTTCCCGTAATCCCAGCACAGGCCACCCTCTTGAAATAATCTAAGATCTAGAAACTGTAAGCATCCATTGCTTGGCCCTTCCATTGAAAACTTTAACTCAGGCATTGAGTCTCTTATACACTTAACAATTCTTACTTCCGAGAGGTCATTGAAAGTGCAAATCAAAATATCATCAACAAACCTTTTAACAATCGCGGTTCCTTTCTGCATACCACTTAAAAACATCTCAACCTCTCGATCGAGAGTCCTCAAATAAATTTCGGACAAACTGGAGCAATCGCCGAACCGGTGCACACACCCTCTTTTTGCACGTACTCGCATCCCTCATACCCCACTGTGGTCGAACTCAAGTACCTTTTCAACAATTCAACGAAACTTCCCACGTCAATGCCGGTCGCTGACTGGAATCTAACTAAGTTCTCCTCTAGCCATTCCCTTACGCTAAGAAGTAGTTTTGTCTGGTTTAATGAGTAGTACAGGTCCTTTATGTCTAACGAACACATTTTACACGGCCTGCCATGAAAGCCATTCAACACCTCTACCAACTCATCCGAATTCTTCAGTACCAATGGGTTCACTAATTCCACGGCTGTCAAACATTTTTGCAAAAACTTAGCCAATGCGCCTTGCCAAGTTCCCAACTCATTCACGACGATCCTTAGTGGAAAGCCTACCTTGTGATCCTTTAGGAAGAACTTCACTGAAAGCAAACTCTGGGCCCTCTCTCCGAGAGACTTCATTATGTCAAAAAATTCGCAGTCTTTCAGTATGCTCATTACTTCTTTTTTCAAGTTTTTCACGTTCAGTTGATTGATTTTGAATAAACCATCAAACGCCTCTTGCACCTGTGATTAAAACACTGCTCTCGGCAAAACCCCAAACTTCCCCGACTTATCTGTTTGCAACAAGGCCAGATCATTGTCTCTTATTTCTTTTTTGAGTGCAACTATGCCACGGAAGTCTCTCTTATCAAACCTTGATTTACAATGTTGAAAGTTCACCAGCTCGCTTGCATCTTCTCTGTAATTTCTATACCAAGTATTATTTTCTTTTTTCTTTTTTTTTTACTTTAGAGGTTTTACGTATTCATACTCTCAATTAATGAATGCACTGCCTCCAAGCACCTTCGTAGTAAATCCCAGCACAATAAGTTAAAAAACCTATTTATGTGGTCCCTTCAAACCTGGTAGTATTCATTGATTCCTTTGACTCACCCAATAGTATTCACCTCAAGAACCGTAGTAAAACTACCGCAGTCCAGCTGTTCACGGAACGTCACTGATTTCCTTCTTTATGTGTTGAATTAAGCTGTGTGTAGGTGCATCTCAGATTAGCTTCTCATTATTTCATCGAGACATATACATTTCGAACGCCAAAAGCATTGTTTCTTCCTTCAACAACCAAAGCCCGTAAGAACTACATTGTGCGGCGCACGAATGAGTTGCAAAGCTTCCTTTTTTCCTTTCTGCGACGACGAGTACTATATGTACAGTGAAAAACTGAGGGCGAGGAGGAAATGAGAGTGCACAGGGACGCCTCGGTGCCGATCTCTGATTGGAATGATTGGTAGGTAGGAGCAAAGGCTAGCGGTTGCTGTCCCTACTCAGTGTTTGAATGCATTCGAGCAGTGAGCGGAGACACGCTACACCACTTATAATGATACCACATATAGCGATGTACCGCCTATAACGATCTGTTTTTAGAGTTTCTAGACTAGAAACAATCAGTTTCTCGCCCAGATGCAACGATAATCGGTTATAACGATTTAATTTTCTGGTTTTCCCATTATCGTTTTAAGTGGATTATGCCGTATTACATGCCAGAGATGATGCTATGTGCACTAACTGCTGAGGCACCACTTGGAATGCAAACCTACAGCCTTGCACAGTCCGACTCAGAACTTGCAGCCATGACAGAAATGCCTGTCTTCTACTCTTCGCTACAATGAAATAATGAAATGGCAACGAGTAATTCTTAGGGAGGAGGGTAGGGGAATCAGTGTCAGTACGAGTTCAAATCTTACTTCCGCTGGTTTTGATGCGGATGGACGTTGCGCTGATGCGTGTTTGTGTAATTGTCACTGCGTGGTGCACGGTTAAGACCCAAGGTTGGCAGGCATACTGCACTGGCCATGTTGCCTCTCTGTTGTGTGAGTGACAGGTTGCCTTATTTGGTGGCAGTCTCTAAATATCCTTACAACCAAATTCACTTTTTGTACTCATTCCATGTCTTGAGACTCTTACAGTGTAATGTAAAGTGTGGAGCTTGAACTGAATACCATACTTCGTAAAATCGTGGGTCAGGTACTTGTACTTCACCAGTGCCACACAAACATATCGGTCAACGAAGCATCCGCAGATTAAATTATCAGAAAGAATAAACAAAAAAGATGGACAAGACGAGACATCTTTCGACTCAAAACAAATATTTAATGAGAGGCCAGCCTCTCATCAAATGTTTGTTGTAAGTCAAAAGATGTCTCGTCTTGTCCATCTTTTTTGTTTATTTTTTCTGATAATTTAATCATCACCAATGCGCTCACCATAACTATAACCATCCGCAGAACATCTTGAAAAAACCTGGGCAGGCCATTTATACGTTAACCAGAGGCAGAAACTCGTAAGCCGATATTTAAATGCTTGATTTACTTTGATCCTACGGTTAAATTTCGTGTACACAGAATGCGCATGTTTCGCCCGCTTCCCCATCCTCTTGCGGCTCTTAGAAAGTTTTTTCATAACAATAAATTATGTGACATGATTTCGTCGTGCAATTGCTTAAACCCTTCCCGCCCTCGGCATTGTGGAGTAACTGTCGCTTCGCAAGTCTCCCCCTTGGCACAGTGGTAGAGCACTGCGGGCTCGGATTTGGGGGGTCCTGCGATCAACTAACATTGGGGGACGTTCGAAATTTTATTTTAGGGGCGAAGCTCCTTAGGGAATCCTGTCGCCTTGTCCGTCCGGCATCCGTGCTCACATTCATTGCCATCCCATCTGTATTCTTAAAAAAAGAAAAAATGTTTGCGCAGTCAACAGGATTCTAACCTGTGCGGGGAGACCTTAAAGGGGTCATGAAACGCTTTTCCAACCTTTTCCTGTTTCGCTTTCCTCCTCAACTCATAAATCGCGCATTCCACCAAACAGTTCAAGAAGACGAAAAGAAGCGAGGCCCCTCTCGCTCTGAGAGAGCCATTGTCCCCCTAGAAGATTAGCCCGTCGCTCAAAATTCGGAAAAATGTTTCTTTCCCTACCCCGTTCACCCCTAAGCTGACAGTGCTGTGAAAGCTACGTGCTCCTTGGGCTAGCCGCACTTTTGCCATGTAAGCGTGACAAATATGGCTGCAGAGAATGAGGTCAGGTGATGAAACGGAGGCGGCTGATTGGTCCGGCAAGCGCGTAACTTTCACCACAATATCAGCTCGGGGGTGAAGGGACTAAATGACGTCCGGTTTCGTGCGACGTCAGTTTGGACCCGATGACGCGCTTTTGGGACCGCGGATGTATCACAGTGAAACGGCAGAGAGGTCACGAAGGGGAGGAGGTACGAAATAGCCTGCTGTGTTTTCAAATTTTCACACTAAAAGTCAGGTTTTTGACTTTCTACCTTTTTTCTTTTGGCCCACTGAACGATGTGCTATTCGTAAAATCCCAATCTAAAATGATTTATCCCAACCCAAAATCCGTTTCATGGGCCCTTTAATGGATTTCTAGTCCATCGCCTTAACCACTCGGCCATGACTGCGGGATGAGTAGGGGGCTCTGAGACGTGGTATTAACTCAAGAGCTGGGGATGTCACGGATGAAATGTTGCATGAAGCCGCTCAACGTCTATACAGGAGAGGGCGCTGCGGTCAAATGCGTATATAATCGCGTTAAACTTTGCATGCATTGGCACAATGTTTATAGACAAGAGGGCGCTGCGGTCAAATGCTCAGATGCGTATTTAACCACGTCCCATACCACACATTCTCTTTCTGAGATGGATAAAAACGAACGAAAGGCTCGGCATGCTGCGGCTCAGCGTCTACGCAGACAAGCACCACCAGAGCTTTGCCCCAATCAACATCATTCACCACGTGGAGATGTTTGTCTACGGCAAACTATAAATGTTATATTCGAAGGTGTTTTGCTTTGCTGGATCTATCTGTAGTTTTGAAACCAGACATTCTGCGCACGTGATATGCGCGAGATGTCCCACTTTACATGTCAGCTGCTCCGGTGCTACTAGTACATGGAACACACGCTCTTCCGATTCAGACTTTTTAACACTTATTCAGAATCGAATTCGGAGGATGAGAGTTAACCAACCGATGGAGAAGCCCTGTAAAGTACCTCCTGTTCAGAAACCTGAAGCTGCCGAAATGTCGCACTAGTGGATGCACCAAAATAAAACTGAATGCAAGAAAACTGACAATTTTTTGCGTTTAATATTTTCACTTGATGCTCGTAAACATGAACAGCTTGCAAGGACCATGCATTCTCCTGCCAGGTAACTAAAACAATAAACTACACATTTACCCATCATACTATTCCGTTGGAAACAAAAACCCAACCACTAAAAAGCACCTTTTAAGGGGCAAAAAAAAATTTGACCGTCAAAGGGTTGACGTGTTGTCTCGTGTCTTGCACGCAGTGACCACGAGCGGCCAAGTTGCGGCAAAACGCGATGCCGCAGAGCAGCCAACGTCAGCTGCGGCTTTGGCTGCGCCAGTCCAGCAGCACGAGTCTTCCCGCGCCGTCGGCGACCAGCAACAGGGTGCCTCCTCGGCCAATCAGCCGCCAGCGGTTCAGGCGGAGATCGTGCGGCGCACCACGGCGACGCTGGGAGACTTGGCGGCCTTGAGCAGTGGCGGGGGCATGGTTCAACATATTGCGGTGCAGAACGTGGCGCCCGCGGCCCAGCAGACAGCAGTTGTCGTCACCACACAGCCGCAGCAGCGTCCAGGCCTCTCCCTGTCGGTGAGTGATCTCCAGGTCGAAAGCGACAGAAATGTTTGTCGGTTCCGCGGCAGGGGGTAAAGATGAGAGCAGAGCGCGGCGAATCGTGAGTGTCGGCGTCGATGGGTCTAGAGCAGTGGTTCTCAACCATCGATGTTTTATGGACCTCTGATGGATCGGCGGAGACAATTGAGGACCCCGTTTGTGATGAGGGGAGGGGAAATGTATAGGTTAAATATAATAATTATTGACTAAATGGATATAACTAAGGGCTAGTGCGAAGTAGACCTCTCTTATGACATACACACGAGAAAACTTGCCCGAAAATTGAAACATTTCTTCTCGACCTGAGGAAAGACAACTTTTATTGCCGGGCATGACTGATGAAGCAAGGCTTCGCGGACCCCCAGAATGCCTTCACGGACCCCCATTTGAAATCACTGACAGAAAAGAGGAGAAAGAAACTGGGCAGTGCAGAGCTCAAGTTCGTCTGCTTCTTGCACAGAAGTTGCGATGATGTCAGAATGCCAAGATCTTATTGGTCGATTGAAAAAACAAAATAGTGGGTAGACCTCAAGGCACCTAGCATTGAGGTCTGCCCACTATCCTCCCAATCAAAGCCAATCAGAACTTGGCGTCGTTCTGATATCACCGCAACCCCTATGCAAGAAGCAGACGGCTTGCTCTCCAAATAGGTTAGGCGTTTTTGTTTTGAGGCGATGAGTTGAAGTTGCTGGAGTGCTCGTAATTGTTGTTCATTTTAATACGATGTGCAATGAGAGCGTTTTCCTGCAAATTAAAGCTAGAAAAGCTCTAGCTACGGACCTTGCGAGTGATGTTTTCCTGCTTCTTGGTGTATATCAAGGCGTTGCCAGAAATATGGTCCCGTCACAACCGCCGATGTTCGTGTCTGTGCCCTCCCGTTCCGAAGCGATCGAAATGTATGGAACCTTTCCCTCTAGATTGTTATATATTGACTCTGTGTTTTGCAGTGACCTTTGCCCGGTTCAGCTTGTGGGTTAGGCTTATTTTAAGCAGTTAAAAACGTGTACATTCTACACTTTGTTTTGCCGTAGCTTGGCGAAGAGCGAACGCTGTGGCCCCCCTGAGCCAGTTGGAGCGACGGAGGCAAAGCATGTGTCAGTCCTTACCAAAGGTACAGGGCTAAGAGAGCAGTTGGAAAAGAAAATGAGGAACTCCCCTCTTATCCAGACCCTCTTTTGTGGATTCCAGACATTGCTTCTGTCCCCCTAGAAGATCAGCCTGTCGCTTGAAATTCGTACAGAAGCGGCTTTCCTCTTTTTTGCGGTCGTGGCTTTGACAGCACTGCGTGCAACTAGTGAGATAAAGTGTAGTCATGTGTCTTCCTCCGATGCACCGTTTGGCCCACTGGGACCTTAGCCTTTGCTGTTTGCCAAGTTACGGCGAGACAGAGCATACTTGCTGTTGCTCAAAACAGAAAGCAGCAAGTGTATGGATATAAAGATATTGATGCTAAATAACAGACATTTTTTTAAATGACGCATAGATTATGTGCGGCCACCATTAGTTCATCATGCATTGTGAGCACGCATTGGACACGAGCGCTTCGTCAGTATTCGAAGTGCACTCGGATTAAAATGCTGAATGCTGCGTCAGTGCTCGGCGCAAACTCGGAACCAATCACGGGCTTCATGCTAGAGGCAATTAGACCAACTATGGCGGCTGCGCATAATCTGCATCATTTCACAATTTCGGAATGGGTCTATAACAGAAACCAAAATGCATCGTGCTTTTGTCCAGAGCGTGTAAAAGTAATTTATTTATTTATTAGTTTTTTGATTACATACTGGGGATTGCATGGGTCCAGGCAGGAGGGAAAAAAAAGAGGAAAGCAAGATAGCACATGCATCACAGTCAGTGGCTGCAATGACAATGTGAACATCCTTATTTGATGCTGCAAGTATTCCGACTTCGTACTCGAGCACACAGAAAACAAGAGACATCACTGCCGAATCAATTCACATAGTATTCAAAGTATTCATGAGATTGTTGCGATTGGCGTCGTCATGTCTTTGTCCCGCCAGTTTTTGTTTGCAAAGTCACTGCATGTGTAAAAGTGCTTTTTTGGGGGGGAGCTCGCTGTATTTTGCGGAGCAATGAGTGGGTTAATGGGCAACATTATTAACCGGTTGTGGCTTGTATCACCTTGCCAGAGGCTAGGCCTAACCTTGTTATGTACCACCGTGTGACCACATTAATCTATTTGGTAACGGCTTTTGCCGCAACTGGGCAATAGGCTCACGCCGGGGCCGCTGCCGCCTTCTTTTGGTTGTTGCACCAGCCCAAGGGTGCGTGGACAACTTCAGGCACCTTTATAGTAAATCGTAGCGTGATACATTACCAAGCCGATTTATGCAATCACTTCAAAAAGATACTGAACCAGTGCTCAATTTTTTTCAGAAAAGGTCGTAGAAATGTTTGACTGGACCGTACAAAGCTAGTAACACCATTTGTGTAACAGTATCTCAAACAAAATGCTGTATTTCGTGAACAAAATATTACAATCGAGCTGCGTCCGCAACCTTGGCCTGCAGTCCCTTGCGCAAGCCTTCAAGGACACACATCACAAAGCTCGCAATCTGGTTTTTCACCTCTTTTGCCTTTAAATGTATTTTTACTGCATTATTGTTTGAACTACCGTCACGTATGGCATGTGCATATGTTATAGTTACTACTACGAGAAAATCACACCCCGAATTTTCGGTTCGGCATCTTTTTAAAGGCTTCCTTCGGATTTCTGGGCATGCAGTAGTATTGCATCAGGTGCTTTGGAAAGCTGCCGTACATGGCTTTCCATACCAACGGATGATGATCCTTGAACTGTGCCTGGCAGTTCCATTTGCAATAAATTATTGACAATCAACATTTATGTAATTTCGCAGGGCTGTGACTTCTTAGTCAAACTCTCCAAAGGCTCAAAATAATCTGGGCAAGCTGTGACATTATGTCCTGCATCCCAGTTTATTTGGCTTTCCTGACCGCATTAAGAAATGTGCACTATTTCACCGAGCTCTCCTATTAATGGGACTGCCATATAGTTGCGCTTTAAGCTTGTCTGAATAGTTGTTCATCGTTTGGGGCACAGGAGAAGCTGAAGAATAAACCACAGTTTCGACGCTTCTCATATCGGTATGTTTCTCTGACAATAGGAGCATTCTCGAGGTGACTCCTAGCAATGTAAATGAATTTCAAGAAATGGTTGAAAGTAAAAGTGAGGCTACATTTCTGTTACTTTTACTCTTTTATTCAATGTTTTTATGAACAGCCATGTACCATGATGCATGGGTTCCCCCAACTAGTGAACCTCAGGGGTTCTCCGGGATACGCTCATAGATTCTCCAATCTTCCTAATTACCCCAAACTTTCTCTGCTCCTAAGCGTGTATCCTTTCAGTGTAAGCCCCTTTGTTGTGACTTCTGAGCCACCTATTGATGCTTAGCTATGATCCAAACACTCCCTCGTATGTTTATTATTGCTCGCAAGGCCCGTACACTAATTTATTTCGTGAACGCTGAAACCGGGAGGGGTTCATCTGCTGCTGTTCGAGGCAGGTACAGGTTCCTCGAGATGGAAAACATTAGAGAGCCCTTGCCATAAGGAACTGAAGTGCTATGTGTTGCATTGCTCTTGGCATTATTCATGTTGCACTGAGTTACGAAACCTCTTCATTTTCTGTTCTCGAAACAGCTGGACCAAGTGTCGGAGGCCCAGGAAATGTTCAAAAACTCCAACAAGGTGTCGCGTTCCGAGAAGGCACTCATCCTGGGCTTCATGGCTGGATCCAGAGGTGAGCACTCAATAAAAACGAGTGTCATCCCTTTTTTATTTTTTTCACACGACCTGTTTTGTTAAAGTGTTGTGGTGAATTTTGATCCCAGATTTGGAGCACGCCAAGAGCGCCCATTTTGCAGCACGCGTCTTCCTCTGGCAGATCCGGCTCAAATCGGTCGTCTTCCGCTCGGAGCATTGTGGCAGAGTATTCCGACCCTGCCAGAGCTTACCAGAAGCGGGCAGAAGCACGCCACGTCGGTCCCTTTCGCTTGCCTGTGTGTGCGCACGTCGAGTCCGATCCGTTTGGTCGTGTCGGTCGTTTACGTAGGGTTGTAGCGGCCTCAGCTCTCTTACCTTTTGTGGATCAAGGTTGCAGAGACAGGGCTAGAGCGTGGGTAATCTCAAGCACGGACATCAGCCACCTCGAGAGAAAGAAGGAGAAAAGGGATGACAGAAAATCTGAAGAAAGAAGCGGAAAGCAAGGTTGGACACGTTTATTTGACTGCTACCGATTGTTTACTTCTGTACACTGCTTGCCAGCGTTTTCTCGTGCAGTAAAGCGAGAGCAAAGAGGCAGGTGATGCTTTGCTACCTCTTTACGTTTATTGAAGTCTTACGAGCAATCCGAGCTCCACCGACGACGATCGCTGTGTGTGCCCCGCCGTTCCAAGGCAGCCGAAAGGTACAGGACTGTCGCAAATGCGGACCTCGTCCTCTCTATTTGCGACGTGGACCCCATGGTGTGCATGGTGCGCCCGATCTGCGTCGCATGTTGCTTCCACAGCCGGAAGGCTACGGTAGTGATTGACCATTAAAGAGCCGAGTCGGCACGCCAAGTTGGAGCTCGGCCATGTTGGAGCGGCAGCCATTTTGAACGACAGATAGTCTCCTGCGGGTCGCTCTGAGAATGTGAACCCATCTTCCGCCCGTCGATTCGGAGCGTGTCCCACAGGAGCTGGTTTTTGCCTCCCTCGCAGACTTGGATACTGCTCCGTACGTACCGGTGGAGTTCACCATTAGTTTCAGGAGCAGGGAACCTCGAGGATAGCCTCAATAGTGCCTTTGCAGCAGAGCTGCCTAGAGGCCTGGTCGAAAAGACTACGCGGAATTTTTGTGTCGCGTTTGCTTGGGTCTGCAGCTCAAGGCACGCAAGGTTCGTGCTCTAAAGGGTGAGCCCACAAGCTATACTTGTCACACTTCCGCTCAAGATAGAGGGACCTAGTTGTTGAGTTATTTATTGGCTTTTCTGCAGTCCCCGGCAGCTTAGGAAAAACAGGGAGTGGCCTACCTACTATCTTCATGCTTTGCCATTCATTCTTTACCATTCTTGTTTGCCAATGCCGCAATTTCGTTTGCTGCGGAGCGATAGTAAGGTGTTCGGGACTCGCCGCACCCTGCAATTCTTGAGCTGTCGGCAACGTTACTAAAACACTCAGTTGGGAAACTCGCCGTCGAAACCTGGGCCGCTGGCGTCCACCGAGACCGAGCTAAATACGAGAACAGCGCCACTCTTTATCATTTGTCTGTACTGTGGTCACCTTGAGCTTTTTGAAAGCCTGTTTTTGCGTAAAAGCAAACGGAAAAGACTCTTTTTGTATGAAATTTATTGGAGTTTATTACCAAATGATAGGCACGTGATGTTTTTATCATCTTTAGTTCGCAAGGTTTTGCGGAACAATTAATATTGTTTTCATACAACCATGCCTCAGCGGGCCTTTCAGGTAGCGCGTCCCAACCTAGGTGCATTTTAACTTCGGCAGTTGAACGCGGCGCGTCCTCCGGGGAGACGGGGGTGGCACCCCTGTAACCTCATCCGCTGTATCCGTTCTTAAAGCCAAAATAGAACTCACGTGCAGTTCTTCGTGTGGCCGCTGCGGGAGAAATGGTGGCGTTGTGTTCGTCATTAGCTCGGTGCTCGGAGACAGATTGGGGCCACTTTTTCAAAGCTGTCTCTATGGGAGTTTCCCAACTGAGTGTTTTAGTAACGTTGGCTGTCGGTGACTGCGGTTACAAAATGGCAAGTGCAAGAGAGGCTTCCATTTGTGTCTCGCTAGGAGGTCCACCATCTGTTGGGAGGGCAGAGAACTTCCGCCGTTGGGGAGAGAATGCGACCGCATTTGTTTGGCAGGTCATAAACACTGCGTCGCCAAGTACCTAGAAGTTGTGCGGTCCCATTGCGGTTTATTTAAGGCCGGTTCGCACACTTGCGTCTGCTTAGGACCGACTTCTTGCAATCGCTTACGATAAGAACTCTCTGGCACCATTTATGAGGTTACCCGGAACTGCGTTTCACTAGAGCGAAGGTTTTGTGGTATTTTCGAGATCAAATGTGCCTACTGTCTATGAGAAAGGGTTGTTTATAACATTGTTAGGCTTTTTAAAATAGTGTTCTCTTAGTTTGACGTGAATTCGAAGCGAATAGTGAATGATGCCGAATAATTTCTAAGTGAATACTTTGAATAGCTGTTAGCTACATATAAAAGGCAGCAGTAAAGGCATCCACTCAGCCATTTATTTCCTAAAGGTTTACAGATTTTCTTGCAAGGAGACTGGCTGCTCGACGTGTTTGGTTAGGAGGTGCTCCCTTCTGCGGCTCACACAGCCCTGGCAGTTGAAAAGAGCCGTTCGGTCCTCGTCTGCATTGCTGGGACTGAAAAATACCTACGGGTAGCCCCAACCAGGGATGTGTAGAGAAGGCTTCCTTGACACTGCCACCACACCAAAGGGTCTTATGACCGAGGAAGGAGGGGGGTCTTCGACAGCTTCATCTGCCACTATAGGGCCCCATTGCGGAGGTGCATTTGAATTCAAACTTGCAAAGACACTCCACACAGAGTCTCCTGCTGTGTCTTCCAAGCACTGACTGGCACTGCTTGCTGCATCGTCATTTTTATTACATTCATCATGTGTCATTGTGTCCTCTGCTGCCTTTGTGAGTAGATTCAGAGCATACATCTACTCAGGTTTTTGGATGTATCAGGCATCATTGTATTGTATCTTGGATCCACCAGCATTGCCAGGACTGGGAGGTGGCGCATTTTGAGGTCCGGAAACCGCGTGTTCATGCTTCTTAAAATGCTCAAGGAAATTTATGCTGCCTTTTCTGACTCCGCTGAATGTTGTGCAAAGGTAACTGCAGTGCATTGCAGCAGGGTAATTACTTGCGACAGTGTTGGATAGCAGTCCCCAGATAGTTTGGTCGTGGCCTGCTCATGTGGATGCAGGACCTTTGCAGCCGCAGTCATAAGCTTTCCCTCACTTGTACTGAGGCCCTCAATGGTATCACAATCTGAAAGTTATACAGTGAAGGACACACAAAGCTTCACAAGCCTCGCCATCATTGCGTGCTCACTGTTCCACCGCGTCGGAATATCTTGTACAACTTTGAGAGAATCCATGCATGTTCCTTTGGATCTTCAGAAGGTGTCCTCGGGCCTTCACGCTTTCTTGTAATGGCTGGCAATTGCTCTGGCCTTCGTGTACAGCTGAGAAAATCCAGCCACTTATCTTCAAGCTTCGCTAATGCAGAGCTGAAGCGCGTGCCCAAAGCACTGCACACCAATCCAGGCCGACTGTGGAACCACTGATGTGAAGTTTCTTCCATTGACCGTGACGGCGTAGATCAGCGCGTTCTGAGATGGCAGCTCCCACTCCTCAATGACACTTGCGATGAAGAGCGCAGTGTGCGAGTCTGGCATCGCAGTGCACGCCAATACACGCACGTCTTGCACAAATGTTGTGTCCATCACATGGCAGGCTATGCACACGTAACTGTTATGCGAGGTCCAGCTGTCCATTCTGAGAGAGAGGCACTTTAATCTGCTGGCAAAGATATCCCCAAACTCCTTTTGCACCTCTTTTTTTTTTCGATTCGTAGGGCTTTGGAATGACGACCCTAGAAAAGTTGTTTGTGATGGCACAACGTAATCCGGCATGGCACAGTTCATCAGGTTGAGGAGGAAGCCAGCTTCTTCAACCACGTTGTACGAGTGCATGCCGCGTGCAATGAAACGATCGATGATCTTTGTCATTTGTTATGCTTTAGGTGCCGAAGCTTTCATTTTCGACTTAAAGTTATCGGCAACCGAGGGATGAGCACTCGGCATGCTTGCCTGCTTGAGATTTGTTGCACATCCACGTGCATGACGCTCGTCCAGGTAGGCCTTGTGCGAGTCTGGGTGTCGCTTCAGGTGTGTGGCCAGCATTGTCATAGTCCCTTTGGGGTCTTCAGAATCACCTTACCTTGCACTTAAAGGAGCTGTGCACCGATTTTAACATTGAAAGAATTTGCATTTTCTACTTTTGACATTGTTTATCTTGTCACAAAGGACAAAAAACACTTCCTCCATTCAAAATGTTGCAATTCCACCATGTAATCGCGAGGCAACAATTAGAATACTTCCCAACCTGCAGCCGCGAGCGGCTGCCATGAGAACCATGCGGCATGACGTCAATGGGGGACTTGTAAAAAGATAGGAAGTTGTGCAAATACCTGCTCGATAAATGGTAATTTTTCTATAAATCTTGTCGTTCTAACATAGATATAAATGTGTCAAAAACCTGGTATCATCGACAAAACTTTTATTACACAGAGTTTTAGTGGCGCCATCTATCCGAGGTCAACAAAACCGTCAGGTCTATCTGCTTCCGCAAACAGCCGCCAGAAGCTGGAGGGTTGCAGGGACAGAGCCAGACGTGGACGGCTGGACCCAGATGAGACTTTCCTCCTTTTGCCATGGTCGCAAGTGGATAATTTCTTGCTGCTTACTGATGGCTCTAGAGAGAGAGCTTCACCGGAACCCCGCGCGTCCCCCATTGACGTCACAGCGCACGCGACCCGGAAGATGGTGGAGGAGTTGAGAGGTGCCAAAAACCTTAATCTTTGTCCATTTTTAAAATAAAAACTAGGACATGCAGGAAAAAGCAGTGTTTTGTTCTTTACTTCAGAAGGGTCGAGACATCAACTCCAAAATTATATAAGCAAAGCACTGATATTGTTGCATCGCTCCTTTAAAGGGCCCATGAAACGAATTTTGGACTGGAGTAAATCAATTTGTATTGGGATTTTACTAATAGCACATCGTTCAGTGGGCCAAAAGAAAAAGCAGAAAGTCAAAAGCCTGACTTTCGGTACGAAAATTTTGAAAACACAGCGGACTATTTCATACCACGTTCTTTTCGTAAGCTCTCTGCCTTTTCACAGTGATATATCCGCGGACCCCGCAGCGCGTCACCAGGCACCCGCAGCGCGTCATCAGGCCCAAACGCACGTCACACGGCACCGGACCTCACTTAATCCCTTCAGCCCTAAGCTGACATTGTGGTGGAAGCTACGCGCTTGCCAAACCAATCGGCCACCTCCCTCTCATCACCTGACCTCATTCTCTGTGCGTGGGTATGCGCAAGAGAGCGTGATCACATGGCAAAAGTGTGTCTGGCCCAAAGAGCATATAGCTTCCACTGCACTGTCAGCTTCGGGGTGAATGGGGTGGGGAAAGCAACTTTTGTTTGAATTTTGAGCGACGGGCTAATCTTCTAGGAGGACAATGGCTGTGTCCGGCTACACAAACGAGATTCCGAGCAAGAGGGACTCCCCCCTTTCCGTCTTCTTGAACTGTTTGGTAGAATGCGCGATTTATGAGTTGAGGAGGAAAGCTAAACAAGAAAAAGTTGGAAAAGCGTTTCATGACTCCTTTAGGACATCGGGCTTCAGTACCCAGCATAGTTTTTATAAAGTAGTTCCAGATCGGGTTGCCGGCCATAGATACGTCGGTCATGTTAATCCAAGACCAGTCACCACTGTTCAACGTCGCCAGTCGATCTGATTATTGGCTTGGCTTGGCTTGGCTTTGCCAGGCCACAAGGCCTGTCGGTCAATGCGGCATTGGCGGAAAAAAGGTAGCTGGTGTTGATGGCGCTACTACTTGCTAAACAAAACTGGAACCTCCAACAGTGACTGCAGCAAGACTCTCTATTTGCTAGGTCAGAATATTTCGAAATTTTCGAATACGAGGATTCGGATTGAAGCAAATTTCGAATAATATATTATGCGATTGAATATTCAAAGATATTGAATATTCGCACAAGCCTAGACAACATTGTCAAACTTTTTTTTGAGCCAAGAAAGAAAGAATGATGCCTCAAAAAAATGCCTAGCAAATGGCCCGGCGATTGCGTTGCACGTGAGACAGGGAGTTTCTGCCTGATTCTTTTGGGATTGACGTCTACGGTCTTGGTACTCTTCTTCGCTTAGTTTATAGTGACTGGCTTAAGTGTGTGGCATGTATGCTCGATAGCAATTTGTGAGATGGAGATAGCGACACTGACGGGGGTTTAAAGCCCGTGGCACTTTTCCAGATTCCTCCGTAGCCGTAGATATCTTTCTGACGACATCCAAGCGCCGCCTGGAGTGCGAGCGGTGTGGCGCGAGTGATTGTGCGATCACCAGCCAATCGGCGTCGAGGAAGCGCGGCCTCGTACATGATGTTTTACCCGACCCAGCCAATTGGCGTCGAGCTAGGGAGTGTGACATCATCACCTGGCTCAGTCAGTCGGCATCGAGTTAACAACGGCTTCACTTTTCGGCTTCATAAATTTCTAGACCCCCCACAAGACAAAGCATGTTTCGTGTGAAAATGATAAATATATAAAATAGTCAGTGTTCTACTAAGCATTTGCAGGTGTGTGAACCAGCCTTTACACTTTGACTAGATATCATGTGTTGCCTTTTTCAGCCAATCCGTGTCCAGAGTTGGGCAACCTCATCACAATTCGCCTGAGCGAGAACAAAGAGGACATCGTGCAGCCGGGAGGTGCCGTGAAGCAAGCGATCGTGGAGACCCACTTCCAGATGAACTACAACACAGGGGAGTGGAAGCGCGTCCGGAAGATCCGCGAAATCGAGGACTGAGAGCGCGCCCGCCGAAGACGAGGTCTCGTTTTTTTCTCTCTTGCAGTTGGTCGGTTTTTGTTTAGTCTTAGCATCTGGCATCACCTCCCTTACTCACTTTATTTTTGTGCCACCTCGATTTGCAGTTTCTTCGTTCGAGCCATCTCTAGAACACTGTTTCTGACAGTGCAGAAAAGTTTGTTGATCCATGCTCTGTATTTGTGGTATCTAGGGTCCAGGCAAAAGGCATAGGCTGCACACACTCTTTATTTTTAGGCTCTTTTGAAGGAAATATGTATTTGATGGGTGCATATCGTAAGGCTAGATGACACTTTTGCAACTGCTTTCTACAAGTTTTTTTTATGCCCACAGCTGGGGTTGTGGGAGGTACAAAACATGGCTGGATGTCTGCCTTGGTGGTCTTTCTAATAGCGAGATGTACAGCCTGGCTCGTCACAGAGCCGTCATTGCCATCAGTCAGCACTATTACGCTTCTGAAGAGAGAAGAATGCACATGTACCATATGTATATCCTGTTTTGTATATACTAAATGCATTTAATTTTTTTTTTTTTTTCATCGCAATTGTTTGTCACATTTAGAATGCAACGTTTTGTTTCTTTTTCAGTTCTGCCGGGTGTTCTTTGTAAAGTTGTCGGGGATTGCCCCGTCGCCCGTACTCTTTGTATCCCGTGTTGTGTTTCTGTTTATTATGGCGGTGCTTATGTGATTGCATTGCACAGTGGAGCCGTCCCTTATTTATTCCTCGTGTCACGTCAGTGGGTAAATATATGCCGTGAAATGTGTAAGGTAGCGTTTGCACATGAATGGACAGGTTTGCATGATATTATTACTTCCTTTTGAAGAGAACAACTAATGGAGGCTTGTCATTTTTAATAATGATTAATGCGGTACCCCGACACCCACCGTGCAACGTTTGTAAAATGTTTGCTGCATATGCTCGTAATCTGCTGCTGTAATTTGCAATGCTTTGTGCTTGGAGCGTGGCAATTTCATGTTCAGGAAGAAAACAAAATAAATATTTTCAGTACATTCTGCAAGTGCTCTTTTGATTAATTTGTTAGTACCATACCGCACGTATTGGTCTTGGCCAGGGTAGGGGTAGGGGTCCAGAGTCGACAGGTTCGCTTGAGGTTTGCAGCGATTCTGGATTGGTTTATTCTCCAGACCATGGCTTCTCAAATTTGGTTCCGAGGAATTTGGGGGTTCCTCAGGGCACCTTCAAGTGTTTCCTGAATTCCCAAATACCCTTGACTGTGCCAGTCCGAAAGTAACTTGTTTTCCCAAATTAAGTACAGTCTGTCCCAAGAAAAAGTTCCACACAATTTTTTTCACCACAAAAATAAACTATGTTTCGCGAAACACTCATTCTCCGCCTAAACGTAGCACTAGCCGTCTGAACCAGATTCCAAGGTTTCAGAACCAACCGTTTTCTCCATCAAAAGTTAAGTGATCTTCTGAAAGTTTTAGTGGGAAAATGGGGCCCGATTTCGCTTGCCTTTGGTAACTCGTGGCATTCAGCTCATGTACTATTCAAGAGCTCCTTCAGCTGCCATTTTCCCATTGAAAATTTAAGGAAATCCCCTATATCTTTTGATTGAGATGGCGAATCAGTTTTGGACCGCTAATGCATGTGCCTTTGGGTGGAGAATGAGCATTTGGCAATGCATAGTTTATTTTTGCAGCAAAAAATACCCTGTAAATTTCTTGAGGCGACAACCTAGTACTGTGTTAGCAAATCTGGATCATTCATTGTATCATAACTGTGAGCCAAGCACTCTGTAGTATGTGCATAATTGTTTACAAGGACTGTTTACTTTTGTATTGCTTTATCGCATGAATGCTGAGAGCAGAAGGGATTTCTCGGCTTTCAGTCGAGCCATGTAGTGGTTCCTCGAAATCAAAAATGTTTGAGAATCCCTGCTCCATGCAGTTCATTTTATGGCTCGCAACAACAATCGCAAACATAGGTAATAGACTCTTTCACAAATTCAGTGCCATCTAGTGGCTCAATAGTCAGTCTAAATTTCTGTACGCCAATGGCGGTCAGTCGAGTACAGTGCAACCCACTTATAACGATAATGAGAAAACCCAAAATTTCAATCGTTATAACCGATTATCATTGTATCTGGACTAGAAACTGATTATTTCCAGTCTAGAAACTCTAGAAACTGATCGTTCTAAGCGGTACATCGTTGTATGTGGTATCGTTATAAGTGGATTGCACTGTACTTGGTGAAAAACCCGAGACTGAGGTATTGACAGACGACGACAAAGAAGAGAAGGAGAACGTCCCAACGTTCTCCTTCTCTTCCTTGTCGTCGTCTGTCGATACCTCAGTCTCGGGTTTTTCACAAAAATTTTTGATATACACCAGCTCTCTTGCGCCCTTACCTTCTGCTCGAGTACTTATTTGTAAACGACACGCTTACGAAAGTTGTGGTTTCCTTGCTGTACGGTTATTTCTCTATTTGTTTGAGTTTTGATGGTGTGTACCACTCTGTACGAGGCTCTTGGTTGAGTTAAACTCGATAAATTTCACCATATTCTATTGTCACAAGATATCTGGGGCATACCGAAGCCGAGCACTCCAAGGTTTTACATGACACCCTCAAATGCGTGTATAGTGCATAGAAGCTAATAGACCGAGACGCGGCACGGCTCTGTTTAACTACATGGCCTAAAGGCCACGCATGCGCAGAAGCTATGTGGGCAGAAGCAGCCAGGCTCTCTGTGTTTCCGCCATTGCGTTCTGTGGCATGCACTCGTTGTTGGCTTTGTAGCGACGCTTTTAGCTTTATTTGTACATTGTATTTCCTGCCAACGTATGTCGTACGTCATGCACTACTATTTGAACTCGCTACCCGAGCTTGGAACGGCAGCGATATCGAGACAAACTGTGCATCGACGGCATTGCCTTCGACGATCTGTCCACCGTAAACAAGGCCTGCTGGAGTTACGATGTGAACCGATGTGAGCCATCGACGTCGGCTCCCGCCGACGTCGACGGCTCACTTTGTTGTTTATTTAGTTTTTCCGCCAAGCCAGTTCACCGCCAACACGGTGCAGGCGTACGAGTCTCTCGGGGCCTACGATCACTTCTAGCCGGTCTGCTGAAGTGTATTAATTAATTGATTAAATACACACAGCATCTTCAAGTCAGGGTATGCCATTTTTCCTACCCTCAGGACCATAAGGCACGACAACCTGTTACGTTATGTCCGTTCTGCAGTGTTGGCGGTAACGCGTTAAAAGTAACGGTGTTACCGGTAACGCGTTACCTCTTTTATAAACATAGTAACATACTCGTTACTCTCTCAAAACAGTAACGAGTAACATACTTAAGTTACTATTTTAAGTAACGTGTAAATATAGTTAATTGTTACTGGGTGATTTCAGATAAGATCGACCAAAGGGTGGCTGGTCGACATTTTTAAATCAACTGATGTTTTTATATGACATTGTCTAGTGTCTGGTATGAACGAATCCACACTTAGTTTTGACCAGAAAACAAAATTGGAGACAAGAAAAATCGTAAGGCAGGGAGAGGTGGACAGTTGCAATAACGCACACTGATGGAGGGGGAAAGTTTGAAAGTGAATAATTAAAACAATAAAATTAGGAGAATTTTAAAACTTTTTACAAACAAACTATGGGTACAACTTGCTTGTAATATAAAGTAATAATATTTATTAAAAATTTATTTAGTTTTCTAAAAATTGCCAAACATGCCTGCTCGAACGACAAATGGCAAACTTTGGAAATCTGTATCTCATGAAATAATTTAATCATTATTACATAACTTGCAGACATTATTTTACTAATATATGGCTATTATTGAAAAAATAAATAAGGTATCTGAGTGACACAATAGTTACAATATATTTAGGCAAACATGGGAAAAAAAATCAAACAAAGAAAAATTCCAATGCGAATAAAAAAAAAACACCACCTTCGATTTTTTTAAAATTTGGGTACCCTGTTATACTCTATTTCGGCATTCATTTCTATTAAAAACATGTTGCATCATTGCACTGTGAAAGAAGAAACAACTCCCCAAAGTAGGGTCCTTTTTCAAAGCCTACACTTAGCAGTGTCCTATACAAGAAGTGACTCTGAGTTCCAGTTTCATGAAACTTGCACAAATCTTTTATATACATTTATTCAGATGAGGTCATTGATAAAAAGAGCGATCGGTCACACAGTAAAAGGGAGGAGAAACTATATACAGCATTTTACATAAGCGTACAAAGTGTTATCATATTAGAGACTAATGATTTGAGAAAAGATGATGCAGTGTGAAGTTGTACCTTCCGGTATATTTTACATCTAGAGTAAAATAAATAACTTTACTTCCACACACAAAAACAAAGATATAATAGTAAGATATTTAGGTTGGCTGTGTATTTACGATTACAAACAATTTCAGGTGACGGATGCCATAGTGCCTAACTGGAGCAGCTTCGATGCTCTCGGTGTATGAATGAATCGTGGCAAGCCGATATATTTTATCCTGCTCGAGGATAACATTTTGGGATTTTTTTTATAGTGATCAGATAAAAATTATTAGTAACCACCAACAAAAACAGTAGGTTAAATACCCCGTGAAGAAAAATGTGATAAATAAGATGTCCCTGCATTCAAAATGAGCAGTCCTTGGGAAATCAAATTCGGCACTTTACGCTAAGGTTTTCCTCGCTGTACCCATTTAATAAAGTTGCTTCCAAGCAGATCCGACTGTCCGTGCTACATATACGTCACAGGTCCCTTCTGTTGATGACTTGCTGAGCCGCCACGCGTGCCAAGACTGAATGCCAGGGAAGGCGCGCACCGTCAGCCACTGTTCTTTTTTTTGTTCACGATACCGAACAACCTCATTTTCGTCCAGATATACAAGATGCACGCCTTTCAGTTTCTTTGATAGAACGCTCACCATTGTCCTGGCCGTCTGAATTGCGCTTACTGAACGTTCTCTCAGGTTGTTCAGCGTGGCCTGGTGCTTCACGAGTCCGCCAACTCCGTCACATGCATTTTTCCCATGTCCAGATGCAGAAAATAACCACTGGGCTTGTGGGCAATCGTCCTTTGCAAATTGGTGAAGCTGGTAGCGATTCTTGAAATGACTGGCGGCGCCGTCACTTACGTACGTCACGTACGAGTATACCGCAACGTTGTCTTCAACCCACTCCTTCACTTTTTCTAGAGCCAAGCAAGCGTGAGCGGCGTCGTGACACAGGTCCTCACTGATGATGGCAAAGCTGTTTGTAGATTTTCTTGTCGTCACTACACATGTAAATATCGAAACTTGTTTTTTTTTTTTTTCCAGTGATATGCTTGCACTTCGTCAGGAAGCACGATGGTCCAGTTTTCAGCAAAGTCAAAATGAAAGACAATGCTCCCGCGTTGCATGCACTGTTTTTCATCGTAGATCGCTTTACCTTGCGTTTGCCGGATATGGTTGTGAAGTACCCAACTTCCAACCGTCACTTGGATGACTTTTAGGAAAGTCTCAGGTTCCAAAGTTTTTTTCACAAGGTCGCCGGACTCCCATGTTGCAAGCACAATCTCTTCATCCTCCGGGATATCAAGTTCCTGGAGTGTAAGAAACTGGCCTTTTGGGCAGTGATCACAGTCTCCTTGAAGGCACAGTTCTGTTGCTGGGTCGCACAGAAATGCCGAGTTCATTTCACCAGTGTTGAATGTTGAGCCTGTAACGTTCTCTAGAGCGGCAATACAAAGATAATAATTGGCGCAGCGCACACAAACGCACACTTCCTGGTGTGGAATACATTGGACCCATCTAGGGCGCAACGAATAAAATTTCGTTAGCCCAACGCCGGAATCGGGATGCTTGTCTTTGTATATACGGAAGGCCTCTCGTATTGAGCGTGTCATGAAGCGCTTTGGCACGAACGTCTTCTCTCCGTTGAGCATGACAGAGATGACGTCCTTCTGGTTGGGACTTTGGCGCGAACATTGTAGCTCGTCTTTCGTGAAGTACTCTAGGGCAGCAGACAGGTTCTCAGGGCTCACCT